GTGTGCAGCAGAGGGAGGGAAAGCCATGTGAGAAACCTAGGATATGCCCACACAACAGGATTATATTTACTTATTTATTTGTTTGCTTATGACATTTATATTCTGCCCTTCTCACCCCAAAGGGGACTCAAAGTGGCTTACAAGATATATATACATACAATATATTATATTATTAGCATAGTACAATATCAGTATTAAATATTACTATATGGTACTATACCTTTATATTGTAATATTATTAGTCATATTACATGTAATATAAATATATAATTATAATATCATATTATTATTAGTATTATATTGCATTATATTATAATATTATAAATATTATGTTTATATACAATATATTATATTATAGCCATGGTTGCCGTGATTCTTTCATATACAATTCTGGGATTTGTAGTTTGTTGAGGCACTTGGATTTCTCAGCCAGAAAGCTGTAGTTAAGTACTACTCAAAGTGGTAGTTCATGGGTTGGTGCCAGTTTGCAAGCATCAGCTGCCAGTTCCCATCAAGTTTCCAGGAAGGAAAGAAACAATGGCTGCCAATGAGCACAAATATGTTATTTGTCCCAAAGACTTTGGCTGCGAAAAATTGCCAGTCTCCATATCAGATACCTATAGGTGCATTGTTCTGGTTTTCTCCTGTGAATTAAAGAATTAAGTGTCCGCTGACAGAGAATTCTATGTATTTCATCTTGTGTGTCAGTTGCTTCTGATTTATGTCTACTTCAGGTTGAATCTATCACAAACGTTTTAATGGCCTTCCTTTTAGCCTGAGGGGAGTGGGGCTTGCCCAGGGTCACCCTCTGGATCTTCATGGCTGAATGAGGATTTGAACTCTGGTCTACTGGAACTCTAGTCTAACACTCAAAACACTATGCCACACCTTGCCTCCATTGGTTGACTCATGATCCCATGAATATCATACAGTTTTCTTAGGCAAAGAATATTCAGAGGTGGTATCACCAACTCCTCTGAAATATAGCTTACAGTGCCTAGTATTTGTTGGCAGTTTCCCATCCAATTACCAGTTAGAGTTGGCCCTGCTTCACTTTGAAGATCAACCAGAATCTTGCACCTTTAGTATATTTAGATTTCTCACTTACCAGACTACAAATCTCAGGATCCCATAGAGCAGTGGTTGTCATCCTGTGGGTCCCCAGATGTTTTGGCCTTCAACTCCCAGAAATCAATCAGCTAGCAAACTGGCTGGGATTTCTGGGAATTGTAGTCCAAAATCTGGGGACCCACAGGTTCAGAACCACTGCATAGGGCAGTGATGGGCAACCTTTTGAGCTTGGTGTGTCAAAATTTGCCAAAAACTTGAGCATAATTTGGGTGGAGTGTCACTTTGAGAAAAAAACCCCCATAATTTTGCAATATTTATAGTTTAAATAAGAAAAATGTATAATCCATGCTGAGTTATGGAGTGAACTATGCTCAAACGTGCCGAGGTTAAATTTAAAGATGGAATTAGATTGGCTCTTATAAGGTGTATTTCTCTGTATGTGGCCGCATGTGTCTGCGTGTCATCAAAAATAGCCATGCGTGTCAGTGCTGACACGCGTGTCATAGGTTCACCACCATGGGCATAGGGTAAAGCCATGGGAATTAAAGTGTTACCAAAATGTTATAATTGTCTAGAGTGGATACATCAAAGCTATTTTCAACTTCTTTTTGTACTGTTTCTGTACTATGTACTGTTTCTGTACTAATCCTTGTAAGAACTTCTTTCCATCCTTCCCAATGAAAGATGTCAAAGTAGAAGTTTCTAAACTGTATGTCGAAACACCATTGGTGTGTTAGCTGCTCTGTGTACGTATGTCACACGAACGTAACAAGTCTATGTTAAATAGATAACAAATCATATATTTTGTAAAAGTTTGTTGTGCTTCCATATTTTCATTATTATGCATGAGTCCATATCTCTTCTGGGGGGTTGGTTTAAGCTGAGAGGGGATATGATAGCCATGTATAAATATGTGAGAGGAAGCCACAGGGAGGAGGGAGCAAGCTTGTTTTCTGCTTCCCTGGAGACTAGGACGCAATGGAGCAATGGCTTCAAACTACAAGAGAGGAGATTCCATCTGAACATGAGGAAGAACTTCCTGACTGTGAGAGCCGTTCAGCAGTGGAACTCTCTGCCCCGGAGTGTGGTGGAGGCTCCTTCTTTGGAAGCTTTTAAACAGAGCTGGATGGCCATCTGTCAGGGGTGATTTGAATGCAATATTCCTGCTTCTTGGCAGGGGGTTGGACTGGATGGCCCATGAGGTCTCTTCCAACTCTTTGATTCTATGATTCTATGATTCCAGTTTGTTATCAAAACTGACTTACTGTGTTGTGAAATGATGTGTGTCTAAAAAGTGTGTTGCCATTCTAGAACATGGCCATATAGCCCAAAAACCTACAACAACCCAACATTAAAATGTTTAGAAAGCTTTGTTCTAGTTAATCATCGTGTTTCATTTTGTCTGAACTGGGAATCATATGTACTAGATTCTAAATGAGCCAGAATATTGCATCAACTTCAAGATGTAGTTTTAATATCTTGACTTGTTCCTAAGGTAGAAACCACGTTTTTCTGGTTCACATGAAGCATGAAAGAGTCATTAATCAGAGCAGAGGTAGGCAGAAGTTAGAGCTACGATCTCGTAGATCTGTTGGTTATTCGCTGGTTGAGTCAGTCAACAAGAGTTCTTGCCTCCTAATTATCAGTTGCAAAACCTAATCCCCACCATTGTTGTTACATGCCTTCAAGTGGCTTCTGACTTAACTGCAATCCTAAGGCTAAACTATCACAGAGTTTTCTTGTCAAAGCTTATTCAGGATAGGTTTTCCCTTGCCTTCCTTTTAGCTGAGAGTGTGTGACTTGCCCAAGACCACTCAGTAGATTTTATGGTCAAGCAAGGATTTGAACCCTAATCTTCATAGTCCACTGCTCAAGCAACTACTCTCCAATCCTCACTATTCAACTAACCTAATTTAATATGGAAAAAATGTTGCTTATATTATTAATTCATTGAAAGCAGGAAACTCTTACTGATAACACAAATATACTATAGATCCTGATCCACTCTTGTGTCCAACCTTTAGTGTCAAGTGGACATTATTGGTTGGATCAACACCCCAGCATTTTTGCTCAGAATTGCTGCTGCTGCTGCTTTTAAATCAACAACAACCTGTGTAGATAATGAAGCTGGGGGACTCCTGCTCGGACCCCTGGCCATTGACGTGTATGGTCCTGCAAGGTTCCATTCTATTTCCCATGCTTTTTAACATCTACATGAAACCGCTGGGTGAGGTCAACCAGAGTTTTGGAGTTCGTTGCCATCTGTACACAGATGACACTCAACTCTACTACTCCTTTCCACCGAATTCCAAGGAAGCCTCCCGGATCCTGAACCAGTGCCTGGCAGCCATGATGGATTGGATGAGGGCTAACAAGTTGAAGCTTAATCCAGACAAGACAGGTCCTCCTAGTCAGTTGTGAGGGTGGCAACCTGTGATTGACGAGGTTACACTCCCCATGAGGACACAGGTCTGCAGTTTGGGGGTCCTCCTGGACTCAGCGCTGATGCTTGATGCACAGTTAAAGCTTGTGTGCCAGCTGTGACCATACCTCAAGAAGCTGGACTTGGTCATGGTGGTCCATGCCCTGGTTACATCCAAATTGGATTATTGCAAGACATTCTATGTGGGGCTGCCTTTGAAGATGGCCCAGAAACTGCAGTTGGTACAAAGGTCGGCAGCCAGGTTTCTAACTGGAGCTAATTGTAGGGAATGTACAATGCCCCTATTAAAACAGCTCCACTGGTTGCCAAAATGTTTCCGGTTCCAATTCAAGGTTCAGGTTATGACCTACAAAGCCCTATATGGTTTGGGCCCTGCTTATCTTCGGGATCACATCTCATCCTATGAACCAGATCTGCTGGGGAGACCATCCTTTTGGTTCCCCCACCATCACAAGCATGGTTGGTGGGGACGAGGGAGGGGGCCTTCTTGGTGTTCCCCCCTGACTTAGGAACACCCTCTCCAGGGAGATTAGGCAAGCCCCCACACAGTCCACCTTTCATAGGGACCTGGAAACCTGGATTTCCTAGAAAACTTTTGAGAATTATTAGTCTTTAGGCCCAGTCCCTATGATAGGCTGTTTGCACTATCCCTCACCCACTCCTTTTATAGTTGGCCACGTTCATTTTTAATCCTGACCATTGGTTTGTTGAACCTCTACTGATGGAGCGATAATTAAATGGGTTTTTAATTTTTTTGTGTGTTTTTAACAGGATTTTGGTATTTTATGATGTTTTTAGTTGTTGTTATTTTGTTCATTAAGTTCAATTAGGTTGTGTTATATTGTCCAATGTATTTGTTTTGATGTAATTGTCTGTATGGTTTTCTTTCCAGCGATTTAATGTTTGCCTTATATGTTGGAAACCACCCTGAGTTCCTTCAGGGAGATAGGGCTGTATTCAAATAATAATAATAATAATAATAATAATTATTATTATTATTTGAAACACAACAAGATGAGTCCACAGCAGACACTCTGCTGGCTGTTGTATTGGATCAAACGTCAGATACTTCCCAAGTGTCTAGGATTGTGTGATGTATCGGCAAGTAATGCGTGGAGATCCCAGTAAGGTGGCTTTTTGCAGCTGGCAGATGGTCATTTTGTTAGCGCCAATTGTGTTTAAGTGCAGGCCAAGGTCTTTAGGCACTGCACCCAGTGTGCCGATCACTACTGGGACCACCTTTACTGGCTTGTGCCAGAGTCTTTGCAGTTCGATCTTTAAATCCTCATATTGTGTCAGCTTTTCCAGTTGTTTCTCTTCAATCCTGCTGTCACCTGGAATTGCAACATCGACGATCCATACTTGGTTTTTTAACACGATGGTGTTGTTGTTATTATTATTATTATTATTATTATTTCCCTTGAATATGATAAAACCCAGTGTGAATTCATACATAAGTGATATTTCTGTACTTTCCCCCCTTTAGGTCCAGCAACAGCAGCAACAACAGCAGCAGCAGCAACAGCAGCAGCAGCAGCAACAACAACAGCAGACCTCAAATAAGCGTCCCAGCAACAGCACTCCTCCACCAACACAGCTGAATAAGATCAAGTATTCAGGGGGACCCCAGATTGTAAAGAAGGAGCGACGGCAGAGCTCCTCTCGGTTCAACTTGAGTAAAAACCGGGAGCTTCAAAAGCTCCCTGCCCTTAAAGGTAAGACTGGCAGCTGAGTGCCCTTTGCCAAGGGAGGAGAGGCAAGTGTCTATAGTAAAGAGGCAGCCCCGTAGCCAGGATTTCGATTCGGGGGAGGGGGTGGGGCTGAGTCTGAGTGAAACCTAGCAAACCTTTGGTACCGTTACCCCAATATCACCATGCATATGGGATATATTGTGTATGGTGATCAGATCATGATATGAATAAACATAACAGTTTCAATAATGCACCAGTAAGGCCTTTTCGCAAACCACCCTGATAATTTCGGGGGGGGGGGGGGGGCTCAAGCCCCTCAAGCCCCCCCCCCCCCAGCTACATGCCTGTAAAGAGGGGTTCTTCTTGTCTAAGGAAACCCTCTTTGTCCAGAGAAGGGTGACCAAAATAGTAAAAGGTCTGGAAGCCTTTGGAGATTGGCTTAGGAACCTGGGTATGTTTAGCTTGGAGAAGAAAAGGATTAAGAGGGGACATACTAGACATTTATAAATAGAGAAAAGAGATTCCTCCTAAATATTAGGAAGAACTTCCTGAGAGCCAGAGCTGTTCAGCAGTGGAATATGCTGCTTCAGAGTATGGTGAAGTTCCGGCTTTGAAGGTTTTTAAGTAGAGGATGGATGGATGTCAATCTGTTAGGCGTGCTTTGTTTGTATATTTCTACATGGCAGTGAGTTGGACTGGATGATCTTTGTGGTCTCTACCAGGCTTGCGCATTTTGGTTGAACATCGATCTGTTTCTGCTGGCCGGATTCTGGTATACCCCCGTACCCGTTTTTGCGTGCCTCCTGAAAATGGGTGCAAAGTTGGATGGGGGGGGGTGTCTCCTCAGTCTCCCCTTCCCATCATTTTAGTCAATTACATCATTTGTCCTTATATCCTTCATTAAGACCTGGATTAAAAGCATCAGAGATAAGATACCACTCTTTCTGCTATCCTTTATCTTTTGTCTGTAGAGGAGACCTGGGTTTAAAGAAAGGACTTAAGATACCACTCTTTCTGCAATCCTTTCCATTTGGTATGTAGAGGAGACCTGAGTTTAAATAATGGGCTTAAGATACCACTCTTTCTGCAGTCCTTTCCCTTTGGTCTGTAGAGAAGAGGAGACCTGGTTTAAAGCTTCGTTAAAGCTGTTTATCCTCTAGAGCAGGGGTAGGGAACCTTTGGCCCTCCAGCTGTGGTGGACTTCAACTCCCACAATTCCTTGAGGCTCGGCATTCGCCCCAAAGGCTTACCTTGGCCCAATGCCGAGCCTCAAGGAATTGTGGGAGTTGAAGTCCACCACAGCTGGAGGGCCAAAGGTTCCCTACCCCTGCTCTAGAGGAAACAGGCACTCCAGGTGGGCACTCTCTCTCCCAGCAGCAAACAGCTTTGGCATTTTAAGGAAGCTTCCCATTTCCCAGGGAAAGAAGAACAATCGACCTGGAGCTATCCTATCCAGGGCTTCCTTTAAAAAGCCCTCTCTTGGCCTTGCCTTGAGTGGTGCCTTTTTCCTTCTCGTGCTTTTCCTTCTAGCGACTGCCTCCATCCCACAATCCACTTGTAATCAAAAGCAGCTGACAGGAACCAACCAATCTGAATCCGTGCACAAGCCTAGTCTCTAGCATCTCTGTGATTTTATCTCCTGGCACCTAAATGGTGGTCTTTTGGGTGCTACATGAGGAGATTTTTATACTCCCAGGTAGTTTAGGAATGATTTGTATGCCTTTCTAAATAATACCAATCTTGGGTTTTTGTAGGTTTTTTCGGGCTATATGTTCTAGAGGCATTCTCTCCTGACGTTTCGCCTGCATCTATGGCAAGCATCCTCAGAGGTAGTGAGGTCTGTTGGAACTAGGAAAATGGGTTTATATGTCTGTGGAATGACCAGGGTGAGACAAAGAACTCTTGTCTGTTGGAACTAGGTGTGAATGTTTCAACTGACCACCTTGATTAGCATTTGATGGCCTGGCAGTGCCTGGGGCAATCCTTTGTTGAGAGGTGATTAGGTGTCCCTGATTGTTTTCCCTCTGTTGATTTTCTGTTGTAATTTTAGAGTTTTTTAAATACTGGTAGCCAGATTTTGTTCATTTTCATTTTCTGTTGAAATTGTCCACATGCTTGTGGATTTCAATGGCTTCTCTGTGTAGTCTGACATGGTGGTTGTGAGAGTGGTCCAGCATTTCTGTGTTCTCAAATAATAGGCTGTGCCCAGGTTGGTTCATCAGGTGGTCTGCTATGGCTGACTTCTCTGAAGTAGTCTGCAGTGCCTTTCATGTTCCTTGATCCGTATTTGGGCCTTGCTGCGTTTGGTGGTCCCTATGAAGACTTGTCCACAGCTGCATGGTATATGGTAGACTCCTGCAGAAGTGAGAGGATCCCTCTTGTCCTTTGCTGAACGTAGCATTTGTTGGATTTTTGCTTCTTGTTTTTATTGTTGTTTTATTGTGTGCTATTTTTACTTACTGGTTGTTTTGTACTTATAAGAGGAAAAGGTTTGCTGCACTATAAAGAGAAGTTCTTTCATAATGTGGATTGAAAATGATAAATCTGGGAGCTTTTGAGATAGCAACCTGGTCAGTTATTCTGTGTGCTACATGCGAAGGTTTATGCAGATAAGGATAGGATGGATTTGGTAGTGAGTCATGCTGACTCAAGATGTAATTGCAGTGCTGAAAAGAAAGAAACCCTAACTATGGAAAGCATAATGTTGCACTGTCTTTAAGATTTTCAGGTAGCTGTCTTTTGGAAGAAAGGACTGTCATCATAATTACCCTCCCTTGTTGAAAGCTGCAAGCAGAACAATGATCGTGATAAGGATTTTGTACCAAGGAAACCCCAAATCCACACTCAGAATAAATGATGCTGGTATTCACCATCAGAAATAAATATATGTAAATGATGTAACGCAGCATACATTTGCTGAAAGGAGAGCAAGTGGAGGATATGGATATTAGTTCTGGCCAAAATTTCAGATACCTGTTTGTATGCAGGATCCCCTAGAGCAGTGGTTCTCAACCTGTGGGTCCCCAGATGTTTTGGCCTACAACTCACAGAAATCCCAGCCAGTTTACCAGCTGTTATGATTTCTAGGAGTTGAAGGCCAAAACTGTTGGGTGAGTGGGCTTATTAACAAAAGACCCTCCTCATAAATGCACAACAGAGTAACTTATCAGCAGCAGCATGGCCCAGCACCAGCAGCCAAAAGTGATAAAAAGAATAAATACAAGCACACAGACCAATGTTATTTCTTCCATAGGAAGCTTTTCTTTATAGCAAAATAATATGGTTGCACTATTTACAAGAACAAGGTTTCCATGACACAAGTAAAGTTCAACCTTCACATTGGAGCTTCACACACGAGGCCTTCTCATCCTGAGGCTTACCTCACACAGAGGCTTCTCTCACAGACTAAGGCCAACCTCACAGTGTGAGGGCCTTCTCGGTGGTGGCCCCTCGACTCTGGAACTCTCTCCCACTGGAGATCAGAACCGCCCCGTCTATCCTGACATTTAGGAAACAGGTGAAGACTTGGTTATGGAGACAGGCATTCGACGAGTGAGCCAACACCCTGAGATATAGATGGAGGATGATGAACAACGATTTTAGTGTGATGACTGACCATTATAGTTATTGATTGTAATTGCTGTTTTAATGTTTTACTGTAATATGTATTATGATGTTTTATTGATTGTATGTGATATTATGGTTGGAAACCGGTCTGAGTCCCTCAAGAGAGGTGAGAAGGCAAGTATACAAAACTTTTAAATAAATAAATAAATTCTCTCACAGACTAAGGCCTACCTCACACTGTGAGGCCTTCTCACACTGAGACAAGCTAACACAGAAGTCTACTAAGCTAAAGGCACACCTGCTTATATAGAACAGAAGCTTTTGGTGAGTCATTGCATCCATTTAACCCTTTCAGTGCTTGACTCACATTTTTGTAATTAAAAATACCTAGTTAATTTTTATTATTTCTGACAAAAACATCTGGGGATCTACAGGTTGAGAACCACTGCCCTAGAGCTTTACACTCTGTTTTTTTCCCCTTGCATTGTGTTTTGGGGTTACTCAGTTGCCAGCTAAAAGAAAGGCTGCTATTCTTGGTGATATTGGTACTCATATTTTCATTTACCCATGACACTAAATATGATGCCTTTAGCATTACTAGGACTTCCTGTGTGACTCTGTGGTCCAAATCTGGCAGAAGCATGTTATAAAATCATGCAGAGGACCTAGAAAATGCCTGGACATATTTTGTAATGTGGGTAAATGAAACCACAAGTACTTGTCCTGTGGATATGGGGGTTGGACTGTGTTTTTATTTTTGTAAGATACCTTGAATCCAGTATTGAGAAAAGGGCAGGACAACAAATACCATTATATGATAGTAACAACAATAAGAGCTTCTTGGTACAGAAGATAAGACCTCTTCTTTTGTCTTCCATCAGATGCGCCGCCTCACGAACGGGAAGAGCTCTTCATCCAGAAGCTGCGACAATGCTGCGTCCTCTTTGACTTTGTCACTGATCCCCTCAGTGACTTGAAGTTCAAAGAGGTGAAGCGAGCAGGTCTCAATGAAATGGTGGAGTACATCACACACAATCGGGATGTTGTCACCGAGGCCATTTATCCCGAAGCTGTCATCATGGTAAGACTGACCTGTTTTTCCAGGTGCGGTTCCTGGCGGCACATCTCAAAAGCAGTGAAATGTAAGAAATGTGCCTTTCTGAGCCTCCTTTCCATGCAGCTCAGATGGAGGTGGGAGTGTAATTGGGTAGCTGGAGAGAGTCAGCCTCTTGGGTAAATGTCATCTGGCCTGACAGCATGCATCAACCGTTGACAGGCTGAAAGTGACAGGTATTAATAGCAGGAGAGGTAAGTACAGAACTGTGCATAGGATACAGAATGGCAGGAAAATGCTTGTCATTGCTGTGACTCAGTGGCAGAGCACATTCTTTGCATGCAGATGGTTTCCAGGTATAGTCACAGGTAAGGCTAAGAAAGACACTCTTGTCTGAAAACCTGGAGAGAACCTTTGCCAGACAGTGGTAGGCGAAGCAGTGATCCGGTTCAATATCAGGCAGTCTCCCAAATCTCATTGTATTTTATTTATTTTATTTATTTATTTGTGACATTTATATACTGCCCTTCTCACCCCGAAGGGGACTCAGAGCAGCTTACAAGATATATATATATATATATATATATATATATATATATATATATATCTCACACACACACACACAATACATTATACCATTAGCACAGTACAATATCAGCACTATACATCACTATATTGTACTATACAATTATATTGTAATATTATTAGTAATATTACATTTAATATAAAATATATAATTATAATATCATATTATTATTAGTATTATACTGTATTACATTATAATATTATAAATATTATATGTATATGCAATATATACAATTCAAAGTGCTGGTCTTGGCCTATAAAACACTATACGGCTCCGGCTCAGCTTACCTATCCGAACGTATCTCTCTCTATGTTCCACCTCGTAATTTAAGATCTACTGGGGAGGCCCTGCTTTCGGTCCCACCGACGTCACAAACGCGTCTGGTGGGGACGAGGGACAGCGCCTTCTCAGTGGTGGCCCCTCGCTTGTGGAATTCACTCCCCAATGAGATTAGATCGGCGTCCTCCCTTCTCACTTTTAGGAAAAAACTAAAGTCGTGGTTTTGGTCTCAGGCTTTCAGCTAGTGGACTTAGCAGCACTTAGACACTGAACCGGACCACAGGATTATGACAATAGGAAACGGATATGTGATTTTGATTAGGCGACTATGTTAGTATATGAGTAGGTGATTTTAATTAATGTTATTGTTCATTTTTTATGTATTTGATTTTATGTTGTTGTATTGATATTATGGCATTGAATTGTTGCCCATGTAAGCCGCTCTGAGTCCTTCCTCGGGGGTGAGAAGGGCGGGGTAGCAGCGATGTAAATAAAATAAATAAATAAATAAATATTATATTATATATTAGCATAGCACAGGAGACAAGGTGGAACTGTCCCCTGGCCTCCCCTGTCTTCACTCTGGCTCAGAGCGGCGGTTGGCGCTGAGGGAGGGGTCTCCAAATGATTTCATATGCAGGAGACAAGATATATCCCTGTATCCCTGTGAAAATTCAGATTTTGCAGATCTGTAGGATTTTAGAATGGGGTTTTGCAGGAAATGTGTTCCATCATTTCTTTCCAGAAGTAGTGGTTGGGGGAGTTTGTGAGAAAAATGAACAACGTTTAGTGGTCTTTTAATAAGGAAGAACTAGATCAAGCCCTGGAGTCAATCTGGCAAAACAAAATCTCAAGGAATCTGTATCTCTCAGTTTTCAGTGAATCTCTTTCGAACACTTCCCCCATCATCCAACCCAACGGGAGCAGAATTTGATCCTGAGGAAGATGAACCCACGCTAGAAGCTGCTTGGCCACACCTCCAGGTAACAAGTTAAAATTAATTTTTATTATTTTTATATGCTACTTTTTTTCCCCACTATGGTACGCAAGGCTATGGCAATGGAGTTCTCAGGCCCTCGTCCATTCAGGCACAGATTTGAGATTTGTTCTTTGTTTTTAACAAGTTGCTAAATCATATAACACCATTAACGAAGCATCCGTGCAAATATTTACTTGGCAGTGGAGCACTTCTCAGCCTACCTGCTGTGGATGAAAGTAGAGAGAGAGAAAATGCATACAGTTTTGTGCCTCCTTGAGATAAAGATAAATCAATGAATGATCTGTATGTAAAAGATAAAATATACAGTCCTTTGGAAAGATCAGTGTAGAGTGGGCGGTCCAAGTATTAATTTCAGGCAGTATATTTTATTACAAATTGTCTGGTTGCTGTGAGTTTTCCGGGCTGTATGGCCATGTTCCAGAAGCATTCTCTCCTGACGTTTCACCCACATCTATGGCAGGTACCCTCAGAGGCTGTGAGGTTTGTTGGAAACTAAGCAAGTGAGGTTTATATATTTGTGGAATATCCAGGGTGGGAGAAAGAACTCTTGTCTGCTCAAGGCAAGTGTGAATGTTGCAATTGGCCATCTTGCTAAGCATTGAAGGGCTTGTAGCTTCAAAACTCTAAAATCAGGATAGTAAATAAAGAGCAGCACTAAAAAAACAGGTGAATTCAAGACAAGAAACAATCAGGGCCAGCTAACACCTCCCAACAAAGGACCCCCATGCAGCAAACAGCCAGTCTTTGAAGCTGCAAGACCATTTGCAACAGTCACCCTCGCCTCCAACAGACAAGCTGACTTGCCTCCAACAGACAAGCTGACCCTCACAACCTCTGAAGATACCTGCCATAGATGTGGGTGGAATGTCAGGAGAGAATGCTTCTGGAACATGGCCATACAGCCTGGAAAACTCACAGCAACTCAGTGATTCTGGCCATGAAAACCTTCGACAACACATAAGAATTTTCTTTTTGGATTAGGCCTTTGCTGAGATGAATTGCTTACATTTCTTTATCAAAATTCTTGTGATATGTCTGTTCTTGGCTGAGAAATGGAAGATAAAAGCTTTCTCTAGAGATATTGTCTCAGCTTTTCTTTCCAGTACCAATCGCAGTTGTATCTCTGTGATATTACAGATTTCTTTTTTCCCTTTAATTTCCCCCCCACACAACAGTGATGATCTTATCCTCATTCTGTCTTGTCTCCCATTTGCCTCTTCCTTTATGTTTTGAAAAACAGTCCTTATGGAGTTGTATAGTTTTAAAAACTTCTCCTTTTGGCCTTCCGAGGACTGTTTTCAATTTTATAGAAGAAACTGTGGGCGAGTGGGCTGATTAACAAAAGAGTCTCCTCATAAATGTACAACAGGATAAATTATTATTAGCAGCATGACCCAGCACCAGTAGTCCAAAGTGATAAAAAGAAACAAAAAACACACAGACAAATGTTATCTCTTCCTTGGGAGGCTTTTCTTTATAGCAAAATAATATGGTTGCACTATTTACAAGAACAAGGTTTCCATAACACAAAGTTGGGTTGTTGTAGGTTTTTCGGGCTATATGGCCATGTTCTAGAGGCATTCTCTCCTGACGTTTCGCCTGCATCTATGGCAAGCATCCTCACAGGTAGTGAGGTCACTACCTCTGAGGATGCTTGCCATAGATGCAGGTGAAACGTCAGGAGAGAATGCCTCTAGAACATGGCCATATAGCCTGAAAAAACCTACAACAACCCAGTGATTCCGGCCATGAAAGCCTTCGACAATACAAATAAAGTTCTTTATATTTCCTTCTTTGATTCCATGCTGGGCTTTTTTCTCATGTAGATCAAAAGCTTTGCTCTCTCAGAGCCTCTTCTCACACCAAACTTACACAGGAGCTTCATACAGTAGCCTTTTACACACAGCAGCCTTCACACTAGAGCTTTATACACAAGGCCTTCAGCCTGGGGCTTCTCTCACCGAAGCCTTCTCACAGCAGGCCTCTCACACACAGAGACCTACTAACTCTGAGGCCTACCTCACACTGAGGCCTACCTCACACTGAGGCCTTCTCTCATACTGAGGGCAACTAACACTGAGGTGTACTAAGCTATAATGCTTATATTGAACTGCAGCTTTTGCTGAGCCATTGCATCCATTTAACCCTTTCAGTGCTTGACTCACATTTTTGTAATTAAAAATACCCAGTGATTTTTTAACATTTCTGACAGAAACCATAATTCCTCTCCCCATGCTTTAGGCAGACTTTGTCAGATCCAGGTTTTTCAAGGACCTGGCATCTAGGTCAGGATTTCCCAAACTCTGGTCTCCCTGGTGTACTTCAGTTCCCAGAATTCCTGGTCATTGGCCAAAGCAACTGGGGCTTTTGGGAGTTGAACTTCAAAGCACTTGTAGAACTAGGGTTTGGGAATGTTTGGTGCATTAAAACTATTAAGATCTGAGTCTCTTAATCCCAACTTCTTTCTTAGGGCAGCTACACTGGCTCTAATGTTATGCTTCCATTGGCAGGGTTTTGGGAACTGTTTATAAAGAAATTGATTTTAATAGTGTGTTGTGCTGTTTTGTTTCTTGTATATCAATATTAAGATGACTTCCATCTGTGTCCAGCCTTTATGTACGGACTCTGCTAAAGTATGCATTCAACTTATATGGACAACGAAGAGTTCATGGTCTAGAGCAGGTCTGGGCAAATTTCGGCCCTCCAGGTGTTTTGGACTTCAACTCCCACAATTCCAAACAGTCTACCAGACCTCACTACCTCTGAGGATGCTTGCCATAGATGCAGGCGAAACGTCAGGAGAAAATGCCTTTAGAACATGGCCATATAGCCCGGAAAAACCTACAACAACCCAGTCTACCAGCTGTTAGGAATTGTGGGAGTTGAATTCCAAAACACCCATAGGGCTGAAGTTTGTCAATGTCTGTGAATCTAGAGCAGGGGTCCTCAAACTAAGGCCGGATACGGCCCTCGAAGATCATTTACCTGGCCCTCGCTCAGGGTCAACCTAAGTCTGAAACAACTAGAAAGCACACAACAACAATCAGCCAAAAGCAGGCCCACACTTCCCATTGAGATACTAATAAGTTTAGGTTTGTGAAAATTGTTCTTCATTTTAATTATTATATTGTTTTTGAGTGTTGTTTTGCACTACAAATAAGATACAGTATGTGCAGTGTGCATAGGAATTTATTCATATATTTTTTTCAAATTATAATCCGGCCCTCCAACAGTTTGAGGGACTGTGACCTGGACCTCTATTTAAAAAGTTTGAGGACCCCCGATCTAGAGTCACAGTTGCTTTTGAATAATAGAAGGTTGGCTTTTCCTGGCCTTGGGGATTTGGGGCATTGACCGTGCTTGCAGAGGGATTTGTTGTTGTTGTTGTTGTTGTTGGGTTTTTGTTTTTTTGCATTTTTGTAATGCAAAAAGTAATATTTCCAAGTCCTGCATCCATCTATGTTCAGTAGACCTTTTCCTGTCATTTAACTTGCTTTTCCCCGGCTTTCTACATGAGCCAAAAATGGACTCGAGTCCATAGAGTCCCCCAACTTCCAAAGCTGGTTTTGAGGATGCGCTGGGAGCTTCAGGAAGGAAGAGCAGATTGTCAGCTATTGGCAGAAATTGTGACTTCCCTTTGCAAGCCAAAACTGTGCCCACAGTATGTGATTGGAACACTGTATCTCATGTTGACATTCTCCACTTTCTATTTCTAAAAGCCAATAGCATTGGAATAATTAATAGCTAGAAGGAAGACAACACACATGGCCACTGTGTCTAATGATTATGCTGGCTGGACATTTCTGAGAGCTGAAAGAAGTAACTAACGTTCTGCCTGCAAATCATCCTTCTCTTTTTTGTTTGTCTTCCCAACCTTCTTAGCTGGTATACGAATTCTTCCTGAGATTCCTGGAATCACCAGACTTTCAACCAAATGTAGCCAAGAAGTATATCGACCAGAAGTTTGTATTGTCAGTAAGTAGTTTTACACTTTCCTTTTGCTTTGTTTTGACTCCAAAAACTCCACACTGATTCCTGTTTGAACTGAAACTCCCAGAATCCCCAACCAGAATGGCCTTTCCCATGGCCTGGGGGATTCTGGGAGCTTTGGTCTCAAAAATTTGTTTTTAAAAGTTTATTTTTAGTCCCATCACTTTGCACCTGATTTGAAATAGGAGATAATCTTGATGGGTGAATGCAGAAGAACAGCTTGGAATCTCTTTTGAGAATCTGGAAGAGTTTTTAGGCTGATAAAACTTCCTTCGGCTTATACTTGAGTCAAAGTTCTTTATTATTTTACTCTGTTATTATTATTATTTTAATTACATTTATTATTTTTCTTTATTATTATTATCATTACATTTATAACATTTTACTCTATTATTATTATTATTATTTGTATTACATTAATTATTTTTCTCTATTATTATTGAATTTATTATTTTACTCATTTATTATTACTATTACATTTAGAATTTCTCACTATTATTAAATTTATTGTTTTACTCTATTATTATTATTACATTTACATTATTTTACTCTATTATTTTTATTACATTTATTATTTTACTCTATTATTGATACCACATTTATTATTTTACTCCATTATTATCACATTTATTATTTTTATTATTATTACATTTATTATCTTACTCTATTATTGTTATTACATTTATTATTTTACTGTATCATTACTGTTATTATTTATTTATTTTTTATTTATTTATTTACTATTCTTGTATACCGCTGTATCTCAAGCCCGAGGGCGACTCACAGCGGTTTCCAGACAGTAAACACAAAGACAGTAAAAACAGCAGCAATCAATATACCATAGCAGTTAAACTACACAATTCCATAACTAGCAATAATAACATCAATACACAGTTATTACATTTCCATTATTTTACTCTTATTATTATTATTTTATTACATTTATTATTTTACTCTATTATTATTATTATTTTATTACATTTATTATTTTGCTCTCTTTATTATTATTGAAAGGATACATAAGTACATTTACATTGAAGAAGGTTAGAATAATAATAGTTTAATCAGAGTTGGACAGTCTTATCTTAAATCACAGTTTTATGTAAATATTCACAAACATTTAACCTTCTCAATTAATGTAATTTTATTTGTATCTATTTTAATTTTGAAATTGACTAGTGCTGCTGCATTTCCCATTCCCGGCTTATACTCGATTCAATACATTTTCCCATTTTTTGCGGTAAAATTAGGTGCCTCGGCTTATACTTGAGTATATACGGTATCTCAAGAAAATATACACATCTGGCCGGGTCTTTTAGGTACTCTTTTGAGCAGTAATGTACTCAACAGTAGTTCATGTGAATCACATTTTGTTGTTTATATTTGCTGTTGCCTTCATTTTTGCTGGATTACACAACAGCATTACATTTAACATGTTTTATGATTGAGATTTTATATTTTTGATAAAAATCTAGATTGAATAGGATTTCTTTCTGGGAAGTGACAGTAGGTTGTGTAACTTGTTATATGGATGTGTGACTTTGTGAAGAATTCTCTCTTTTTTAATGTTACCCGTTCTGTTGATGGATGCAAGTCAGATAAAATAGATAACACCCAGGAAAGCAAAATACAGCTGCATATGGGTTAGGTGTTTTTGGTTTGATTGGTTTTTCTAATATACAGTTGCTTCAGCACGTCGTCTGGCTTGAATCCAACTGGTAATCGTAACCAGAGTTGACTCATTGAATTAATTTATGAATTTGTAACACCATCTTAAGCAAGCTCTATTGATTTAGTGAATCAGTTAAGGACTACCAGTTGGATTTAGAAGCTTGTTTCTGTATGTACAAATTAGAATATTGTTTGATCAAGTGCACAGCCTTACGTTCATTCTTTATAATTGAGGAGGCCCCATTTCTTTGGGTCATTTGTGTGAGAGGATTTGAAAAGAGACGCCATGATGTGGTGGGTTAACTGGAAAGACATGTATCGTCAGCTGATTGGCTGAGCATGCCAGGGACCAGAGTTCTGATTGGCTGCTGTCTCTGGCTTGTTGCTGAGACCAACGGTTCTAACTGCCACTTCTAGTCTTTCACTTTGGACAGTGAAGAGTGTGCTGGCTGCCAACTATCTTGAAGTTTGATCATTTTAAGGCATGAGGCATATTTAAAGACTATTTAAAAGGACTATTTTATTCCCTCTATTCTCTGTGTGAATTCAAAGAGACTGCTGTATATATTGTTGCACTGTTTGAACTTTTGAACTGAAGTAAAGATACTGTTACTTGTTACACAAGCCTGAGTGACACTACAGGGCATATCTTGGTTTATAAACTGTGGTAATGCTTCTGTTTATTCACATTTACCAACTCCAACAGTTTGCATTGACCCTCTCACATTTTGTAAGTTTCCAATATCGTCTTCAGAACTTGCAAAAGCTTTTTAAAATTTCAGCTCCCATGATCCATGGCCAGTGTGTCTAATGATTATGCTGGCTGGACATCTCTGACAGCTGAAGTCCAAAAAAGTAATTTTTACATGCTCTAATTCTCTGGTAAGTGTTAGATCAGCACAGGTTGAATTGTATCCAGCCTCATTATAATAGTGCAGCCCATAAAAAATATATCTCCAGAATGTTCAATTTCCTGCCCTTACTTGTAGTTTACTTCTGAGATACAGAATGAAGCATGAAAGCATTGCTGTCTGTATTTACTCTTTGTGCGGTGTTGTTTTGTTTTTTCATATCAGGAGTGACTTAAGAAACTGAAAGTCACTTCTGGTGTGAGAGAATTGTCTGCAAGGACGTTGCCCAGGGGATGCCTGGATGTTTTACCATACTGTGGGAGGCTTCTCTCATGTCCCCGCATGGGGAGCTGGAGCTGACAGAGGGAGCTCATCTGCACTCTCCCTGGGTTCGAACCTCTGACCTGTCGGACTTCAGTCTTGTCAGCACAAGGGTTTAACCCATTGCTCCACCAGGGGCATGAGATGCTGGAGCTGACAGATGGGAGCTCACCTTTCACCTTTCGGTCAGCAGTCCTGCTGGCACAAGAGTTTAACCTATTGCACCACTGTGGGCTCCTATTTTTGTTGTTGTTGTCATTATTATTAATTATTTATTCATTTATTTATACCTAAAGGGGACTCAATGCAATTTGACAAAGCATTAGCATACAATTTGAAATATACAAATATGCAAACATTAAAACAGAACTAAACACGAACAGCACTCAAAATATTCCCAGTTAAAATCCATCAAAACATATTCAAATTTAAAAACCACAGCACCCCCTAAATTGACCTGAAACACCTTTGTTGATACTCATGGCACAGGATATGATTAAATCCTTCTTCCACAGCTGCTGGACCTGTTTGACAGTGAAGATCCCAGAGAACGGGATTTTTTGAAGACCATTTTGCATAGGATTTATGGGAAGTTCCTGGGTCTCCGAGCGTATATACGGCGGCAGATCAACAATATATTTTACAGGTAAGTATTGGCTTGCAGATATTTAATCTCTCTGGAGCTTTTGCATATAGAGCAGGCATGGGCAAAGTTTGGCCCTCCAGGTGTTTTGGACTTCAACTCCCACAATTCCTAACAGCCGGTAGGCTGTTAGGAATTGTGGGAGTTGAAGTCCAAAACACCTGGAGGGCCAAACTTTGCCCATGCCTGATATAGAAGCCTCTATCTTGACTTACAGAGTTGGATTAGATTTATTTTTGAGTTGGGACATCAGATGTCTTGATCAGGGATGGACAGTTTTCTGAGGAAAGGGAACTGAAGATCTCACACATTGCAGTGTCAGTCATGTCTTTGCCACTGAGATTCCTAGAGCTGCAGACGTTGCCATCAAAGTCCTGGAGGATAGTGTGCCCTACCATGTCATAGAGTGGGGGTTCATGTTGACCAGTGTTTCTCCTTCCAGAAAAGGATTACAGACAATTTTTATTTATTTAGCTTCTTAGTTGCCTCATTTTCTATTTGTCACTGACTGGGTGAGCTCCTGCTGTTAGCCCCAGCTTCTGCCAATCTAGCAGTTTGAAAACATGCAAATGTGAGTGGATCAATAGGTACTGCTCCTGCGGGAAGGTAACGGCGCTCCATGCAATCATGCTGGCCACATTACCTTGGAGGTGTCTACGGACAACGCCGGCTCTTCGGCTTAGAAACGGAGATGGGCACCAACCCCCAGAGTCGGGCACAACTGGACTCAATGTTAAGGGTAAACCTTTACCTTTACTTTTCTCTGTTTTAGGTTTATCTATGAGACGGAGCACCACAACGGGATTGCAGAACTGCTAGAGATTTTAGGAAGGTAAGAGCATTTCTTTCTCTTTCTGTTCTTGGCAGGCCTAGGTGACTGTTCCCCAAGCAAGTTTCCAATTTTTTGCGTACTGCTAGGAGCTATTCCCAAGAAAGCATGCTATGAACTATTTAAGTGAGTCCCCATGAGCTTTGCAGATGTTTCCTGCCGGAAATCCTGATGATGTAGCAACAGCAAGGTGGGGTTTGGGAACAGCATTGTGTATACACACGCACTTGCCAATGCACGGGCCCTGAAAGTTCACAATTCTCTCTTGTTTTCCTCAGTATAATCAATGGATTTGCTTTGCCCCTGAAGGAAGAGCACAAAATGTTTCTCATCCGGGTTTTGCTCCCATTACATAAAGTGAAATCTCTGAGCGTCTACCACCCCCAGGTAAAACGTTAATTTTCTTAACATTTTGCATATAACTCAGGCATGGGGAAATTTGGGCCCTCCGAGTGTTTTGGACTTCAACTCCCACCATTCCTAACAGCCTCAGGCCCCTTCCTTTTCCTCCTCAGCCACTTAAGACAGTTTCAAAAGCTTGCAGAAGAAAAATATCATTTTTAAACAACCAAACAGAATAAGAGCAGAAAGAGAGGAGAGAAGTGAAAGATACATTCCCAACTGTCATTCAGGAGAACCCTTAGTCTGTTCTAAACTAACTAAACTGTTCCTCATTGAGGACTTGAGACTTGGGCAGTGTGGAGTTGAATCCTAACATATTAAACCATTTGTAATTTTTTGTGTCATTCTAACTTGTTGCCATTGTCAAATATACAATTCATAGAATCATAGAATCAAAGAGTTGGAAGAGACCTCATGGGCCATCCAGTCCAACCCCCTGCCAAGAAGCAGGAATATTGCATTCAAATCTCCCCTGACAGATGGCCATCCAGCCTCTGTTTAAAAGATCTTGATGAGGGATGGACAGTTTTCTGAGGACAGGGAACTGAAGATCTCATACCTTGCAGTGTCAGTCATGTCTTTGCCACTGAGATTCCTAGAGCTGCAGACGTTGTCATCCATCATTTTGAAATACCTTGCAAATGCTTATATAGCACACACAAGCTGTCTATCTGCCTTTATTATTTCCATATACCTAAAATCTCTGACTGTATTGTACCCTTCTTACAGTTGGCATATTGCGTTGTGCAGTTCCTGGAGAAAGACAGCAGTCTGACTGAGCCGGTAAGTATTCCTTCTGGGTCTATGTAATTCAGGGCGTCATGTGTGAGAATCCATGTAGTACATAAGGCTGGGGCCAAGGTTGGCTTTTTTCTCATGCAGATAAACAGTTTCACTCTCACAGAGCCTCCTCTCACACCGAAGTTACACAAGAGCTTCACACATAGCTTTTTACACACAGCAGCCTTCCTCTCACACTGGCATCTACTAACACCGAGGGCTCTCGCAGACTGACACCTCTCTCACACTGAGGCCTACTAACACACTGAGGCCCTTCTTCCACAGAGACCTCTCACAGACCGAGGCAACTAAGCTATAGGCACACCTGCTTATATTGAATTGCAGCTTTTGCTGAGTCAATGGTTCCATTTCACCCTTTCGGTGCTTGATTCACATTTTTGTAATTAAAAATACCTAGGTAATTTTTAATGTGTCTGACAATAATGTGGTGTCAAACTGGGTTATTGTAGGTTTTTCAGGCTGTATGGCCATGTTCTAGAAGCATTCTTTCCTGACGTTTCGCCTGCATCTCTGGCAAGCATCCTCAGACGTTGTGAGGTTTGTTGAAAACTAGGAAAATTGGATTTATGTATCTGTGGAAAATCTAGGGTGGGAGAAAAAACTCTTTTCTGTTGGAGCTAGGTGTGAATATTTCAATTGGCCACCTTGATTAGGACTTATGGCCTTGCAACTTCAAAGCCTGGCTTGTTACTGGCTGGGAAATTCCTTTGTTTAGAGGGGATTAGGTGTTCCTGATAGTTTCTTGTCTGGAGTCCCCCTGTGTTTAAGTTTTGTTCCTCCCACAGATATATAGACCCAATCTTCCTAGTTTGCAACAAACCTCACAACCTCTGAGGATGCTTGCCACAGATGCAGGCGAAACATCAGGAGAGAATGCTTTTAGAATATGGCTATACAGCCTGAAAAACCTACAACAACCCAGTGATTCCGGCCATGAAAGCCTTCGACAATACATTGGGGTCAAACTGTTATAGCCCTGTAGTGTGGATACAGTCCTGGGTTCAAGGAGGCCACAAAGTGTGGTGGAAATGTGCTCCTTGCCCCTAGTGAACATTTGAAGGGAAAGTGTTTTTGCAAAAAAATGTTTTTGATCCCTGAGTACATCTCTTGTGTATGTTATTCTCTAAGATCCGTACTGGTGGTACTCTAATAAAGATTCTTCCAGATTTAAAAGATTTTAGACTAATTCATCCGTGGATATGGCTGCTCTTAACTCTAATACTTGAAGTCTGCTTTCTTCATTCCCTAGGTCATTATGGGCTTGCTGAAATTTTGGCCAAAAACACATAGTCCCAAGGAGGTTATGTTCTTGAATGAGCTGGAAGAAATATTGGATGTCATTGAGCCATCTGAGTTCGTGAAGGTGATGGAGCCCCTATTCAGGCAGCTGGCCAAGTGTGTCTCCAGTCCACACTTCCAGGTAAATTCAAAACTCAAGATGAGGCAACAGGTTTGGTCTTGACTTCAGTAAAGGTAAAGTTTTATCCTTGACATTAAGTCTAGTCATGTCTGACTCTGAGGAGTGGTGCTCATCAAAGAGCCGCCGTTGTACATAGACACCTCCTGGATCTTGTGGCCGGCATGACTACATGGAGTGTCGTTACCTTCCTGCCTATTGATCTATTCACATTTCCATGTTTTCAAAATGCTAGGTTGAACAGAAGCTGGGGCTAACAAAGAGAGCTCACTCTGTCCCACGGATTTGAACCGCCGACCTTCCAGTCAGCAAGTTTAGCAGCTCAGCGGTTTAACCCACTGCGTCACTGTGGTCTTGTCTTAGAAAATTAACAATTTGCTTATATGAAAAATTGTAACTAGGATAACTGGAGTTCACCTTTCAATCCAACTTAATGGCCAAATTCTAATATTCTCAGATTTTTATTTATTTTTTGTCGTGTCAGGAGTGACTGCAAGTTGCTCCTGGTGTGAGAGAATTGGCCGTCTGCAAGGACGTTGCCCAGGGGACACCCAGATGATTTGATATTTTTATCATCCTTGTGGGAGGCTTCTCTCATGTTCCCGCATGAGGAGTTGGAGCTGATAGAGGGAGCTCATCTGCCTCTCCCCGTATTCTAACCTGAAACCTGCCGGTCTTCAGTCCTGCCGGCACAGGGGTTTGACCTGTTTTATTCTCAGATTAATACACTGTGATTTATCAGGCCAAGATTTAGTGTTGGACTTCCCTTCTCTAAACCCTTATGATTTAAACTAATTAACAGAGATTTCAAGTTAAATGGAAAATCCACAGTGCGCACATGAAAAGGGAGGAGCCCTAATAAAAGGTGAAGCAAGCTTTGACAGTGCTATTGATCAATATGAAATTGATTTCTGATATTACTGTATGCTTCAGGCTGAGGAAGGTCAGAGGCAAACCTTTGAGGATACAACTCACTGGAAATAAATGTTAAGTTTGTAAGGCATTCCTCTTCCCCTCGCTTTTAGCTTTCAAGCCCATTAGAGGAAGAGGAACTTCCAGAACTACTTTGTATTTTACTTTATCTGACTTAACAGAATATCTATATGTGAAAAAAGTATTCATTTTGTTGTCAAAGGCTTATATGGCTGGAATCACTGCATTGCTGTGAGTTTTCCAGGTTGTATGGCCATGTTTCAGAAGCATTCTCTCCTGACATTTTGCCCACATCTATGGCAGCCATCTTCAGAGGTTGTGAGGTCTGTTGGAAACTAGGCAAGTGGTGTTTATATATCTGTGGAATGTTCAGGATGGGAGAAAGAACTCATGTCTGAGGCACGTATTAATGTTGCAGTTGGCCACCTTGATTAGCATTTAATGGACTTGCACCTTCAAAGCCTGGCTGCTTCCTACCTGGGGGAATGCTTTGTTGGGAGGTGTTCTCTGGCCCTGATTGTTTCCGGTCTGGAATTCCTCTGTTTTCTGCATGCTGTTCTTTATTTACTGTCCTGATTTTGGAGGTTTTTAATACTGGTAGTCAGATTTTGTTCTTTTTTATTTTATTTTTCATTTCATTTTTTTCTCCCACCCTGAACATCCCACAGATATTCCATAGATATGTAAACCCCACTTGCCTAGTTCCCACAACCTAGACCTCACAACCTCTGAGAATGCTTGCCATATTTGTGCACTATTTTGTAGTGTTTTTGATGTGTTTGCACCTACCTAGGCATTGAATGTTTGCCTTTTTTGTGTATACTGCCCTGTGTCCCTTCGGGGAGATAGGGTGGTCTAGAAATAAATTATTATTATCATCATCATCCTTATTATTATTATTATTATTATTATGAAATATCAGGCCATACAGCTTGGAAAACTTACAGCAACCCAGTGATTTTGGCCCTGAAATCCATCGACAACACTTGAAACATTCTTCCAAAATGCACCTAGGGGTGACCTTTTCTTTCACTACACTTCACTTTTAGCATTTGGATCTATGGTGTATAACATGAAGCAGGTGAAGAAAACTTTATCCCTGTTTTGGCAATCTAGCATTCTCAGCGAGAGCAACCGGCAGTGACTCATGTATAAATCTACCTCAGGTATTAATCGAGGATACCTTATGGTGCCAAACTTCTGGATTTTGATAGGAACTATGGATAAAGTCGAAGGTCATTCCATAGAGGGGGAAAAGCACCAATGGTGCTGCAGCCATTTCCCTGCCCAAATGTTCAGAAAGACTGGAAGCAGCACCATGATGGAGAGAGTGGATGGGATCAGTGCTTCTTTTTTATTCTCCCAGGAAGCATTCGGCTCCTGCCTTTCATGACTCTACTCAGCAACCCAATATTCATTTTGTATCACTATGTAAGGGTACAACATCTAGAGAGCCGCATACTCTCTACACCAGCACTAAAAAATCAGATATCTGAACATTAGATTAGGCAAATATATACTGTTTTTTTAGGGAGCCCCCGGTGGTGTAGTGGGTTAAAGCACTGAGCTGCTGAACTTGCTGATCAAAAGGTTGCAGGTTCGAATCCAGGGAGTGGCATGAGCTCCCACTGTTAGCCCCAGCTTCTGCCAACCTAGCAATATGAAAACATGCAAATGTAAATAGATCAATAGGTACAGATCTGGCGGGAAGGTAATGGCACTCCATGCAGTCATGCTGGCCACATACCCTTGGAGGTGTCTACGGACAACACTGGCTCTTCTGCTTAGAAAAGGAGATGAGCACCAACCCCCAGAGTTGGTCCCAACCGGACTTAATGTTAGGGAAAACCTTTATCTTTATTATACTGTTTTTAATATGCAATGGCAAAGATTCAGACCTATTCTCCTTTCTAATATTTATCTCCTTAAGAAGTCTCTTTTGCTCTATTAATACAGGTTGCAGAGAGAGCGTTGTACTATTGGAATAATGAATACATCATGAGTTTGATCAGTGACAACGCAGCCAAAATCCTCCCGATCATGTTTCCTGCGCTCTACAAGAATTCTAAAAGTCATTGGAACAAGTAGGTCATTTTTCTGTGCATTGGCCAGGAATGAAAGTACATACAGATGAGAGAGCCCTGGCTCGCCCTTCCATTGTGGGCAGTGGAGACATTTGAAATGCTAATTCCATTTGTATGCATACCTATTTGGCACGAAAGGAGAGATGAGAGAGTGCCTGTGATGATTTCTAGAAATAAGCAAGCACATACAGAAGAAGGAGGAGTTGTGACTGATCAGATTGCTGGCTTAATCCTGGGGGTGGGCAACTCTACTGTCCCTTGACCCCTGCTGCCAATTTTGCCAATTTTGTTGCCATGTCTCTTATCCCCAGACTGTAGGAAGAAGTCATGCAGGCATAATTTTTCATTGCCGCTCGGATTAGGGAAGAGCCACATTGCTGTAATCTGTAACGTATCATCCTCTTGGCTATCCCTTTAGTTCTTCCTCATGTGTTGGTCCAAGTCAGGCATACATTGCTGCTCTTTTGTGACAGAACTTAATATGACCCTGTATCTGAGTGTGATAGTAGGATCTGTGTGCCTTCTACGTGGCTGTCTGCTTTGCATACCAGCCAGTTAGCAGCACGTGCCTTGGCTACACATGAGTAATAATAATAATAATAATAATAATAATAACTTTATTTAATAATAACCTTATTTGTACCCCACCTGCATCTCCCCAAAGGGACTTGGGGCGGCTAACATGGGGCCAAGCCCAAGCAATTACAATAAAGCAAAATAAAATACATACAAGACACATGACAATATCAAATAAAAATGTTTATACAATAACATAATAAGCCATTAAATTAGTAACAATAACATAATAAAACAGAGTATAAAAACCATATAAGAATTTAACAATATTTATTTATTTACTTACTTACTTACTTACTTACTTACAGTATTTCTATTCCACCCTTCTCACTCTGAAGGGGATTCAGGGTGGATCACAGAACACATATACAGCAAACATTCAATAACAATGAAGAACAAAGTCAAAACTTCCCAAATAAAATGCAAGAAACAGGAAACATGAATCCAAGGCATCAATATAAAAGCGTAGACCAAAACCATGAAACAAAGGCACTTAAAACAGGAATTTCCAAGCAAGGTTTCTATCAACAGGGACGAGATCTTGACTTGATACCAAATGATGCTTCATCTGACTACATATCCTGTACTTAGGACTTTTATCTCCTCATTAGCTATGTCTCTAGCACTCAGAAATATTCGCTTTAGCTGAGAATTTCTTATCTTTTTCTCTCGGAGCCTGGCAGATCGCCGAAGCCATCGTTCGGCTCTCCTGTTTTGACTGATCTCCTCCCATCTATCTATTTGATAAACTCACACCGCTGTGAGTCGCCCCCGGGCTGAGAACAGCGGTATATAAACAAAGTAAATAATAAATAAATAAATAAATAAATAAATAAATAAATAAATATTTGCTCATTAACTTCTGCAGCTGGGCCAGGTGCCGAGCCATTTTCATGTTCCCTATCATGGGAACTCTCTGGTAACAATTCAGAAAGCACACGATCATCCCCACACCCCTCAGGGACATCCTCATGGGAAACTACACTTTGCACTGGGATCTCCTGGTCATTCTCTGCATCAATATCACTGGCCAAACCATTGCCATCTTGAAACTCATCTTGCAACTCACTGACATCATTCCCCACATCCAAAGCACCCTGATCCTGGCACACAATCACAGGCTTAGCTCCAACAGTCATTAGTTATTATGATTTCTCTGTGTACTGTATGTTAGCATTGAATTTTTGCCATTAGTATGTTATAAACCGCCTTGAGTCCCCCCAGAGGTGAGAAAGGTGGTATATAAACACAGTAAATAAATAAATAATAATACATTCGTTCTAAGTGGAATTTGAAAAAGTGATAAAATTTGAATGGGTTTCTTTGGGAAATCTGAGAAAAAGCTGGTTCCATGGCCAGTGCTCCGGTTGTTGTTTTGCTCTCCCGGGCAGATGGGCTCTCACTTCTGACTGTAAGGAAATGAGATGTTCCTTGTTAAAGACGCAAGTGGAAGACAGAACAGATGCAGCCCTTTAACAAGTTATCAGCATTTCCTCTATTGCTTCTATATCTAGACCTTCAGTGATCTGGATAAAGAAGCTATTAAACAGCCCTGCTCTATATTCTGAAGTCTTGGAAAGGAGCTTAGTGAAGTTGCATAAATCTTGCCCTCATGATGCTGATGCGACAGAAGATAGATTGATTTTTGCCTTCATAGCCTGAACTATTGCCTCTGAGATTTGTGTGCCCTGAACACTGGAGTGCAGATCTGTTTTCCCAGCAAAACTTACTGTCACATTTCAGGGTGTTGGGCTGTTTAAGAAAGGCATTGCAGAAGATCATTTTGATGGAAGCAAAAGATACGTCTCCAGTAAAGCTGGTCTATGGAATTATTATTATTTTTTACTTGTTGCTCCTTCAGTGGTTTCTCTTGGGCAAGACACTGCTGGACTTTCAGATATTTGTAGTTGCATCCCAAGTGTCATTCACATTTCCAAACCAGAAAAGAGTCTTGGTTGCTGTTCAGAGTGATGAAAAAAATATTTATTGCTTCCCACATTCCTAACCCTTCCTTCTCAACCCCCGAGGGAAGACTCAGTGACACTGGCAACAATTCGATGCCACAAGATAATACAAATATAAACAAATAAAACAACAGTATAAAACAGTAAATAGAACATTAAGTTAAAAACACATTAAAAACATTGTCATTGATCCATATAGCCAATTCCAGTCCGATTCAACATCCAAAGCGCTGTCATGCTTGTTGTCCAAAAGCCTAGTCTAGATCTAGGGAAGTCATGCTCCCCATGCTCTATTCCGCTTTGGTTAGACCACACCTGGAATATTGTGTCCAATTCTGGGCACCACAATTCAAGAGAGGTATTGACAAGCTGGAATGTGTCCAGAGGAGGGCGACTAAAATGATCAAGGGTCTGGAGAACAAGCCCTATGAGGAGCGGCTTAAGGAGCTGGGCATGTTTAGCCTGAAGAAGAGAAAGCTGAGATGAGATATGATAGCCATGTATAAATATATGAGAGGAAGTCACGGAGGAGGGAGCAAGCTTGTTTTCTGCTTCCCTGGAGACTAGGACGCGGAACAATGGCTTCAAACTACAAGAGAGGAGATTCCATCTGAACATGAGGAAGAACTTCCTGACTGTGAGAGCCGTTCAGCAGTGGAACTCTCTGCCCCGGAGTGTGGTGGAGGCTCCTTCTTTGGAAGCTTTTAAACAGATGCTGGATGGCCATCTGTCAGGGGTGATTTGAATGCAATATTCCTGCTTCTTGGCAGGGGGTTGGACTGGATGGCCCATGAGGTCTCTTCCAACTCTTTGATTCTATGATTCTATGATTCTAAGATGCTGACCTGATCTCACTGGGGAGTGAGTTCCACAGGCATGGGGCCACCACCGAGAAGGCCCTGTCCCTCATCCCCGCCATGCGCACTTGTCTTGCCCCTATGAGCTGTGTTTACAAGGGTGGTGGGATCGAGATCAGGGCCTCCCCCGATGATCTTAACCTCCAAGGTGGGACATAGAGGGAGATACGTTCGGACAAGTAAGGTAGGCTGGAACTCTTTAGGGCTTATAGGCTAAAGCCAGCACTTTGAATTGTGCTGGGTAGCAAATTGGCAGCCAGTGGAACATATAGCAGGGGGGTGCTATGTTCATGTATGCTGCTCCGGTAAGCAATCTGGTAAGTTGAAGCTTCCGAACAGTCTTCAAAGGCAACCCCACATGGAGTGTGTTGCAGTAATCTATTTGGGATGTAACAAGAATCATAGAATCATAGAATCAAAGAGTTGGAAGAGACCTCATGGGCCATCCAGTCCAACCCCCTGCCAGGAGCTATTGAGCACCAAACTCACTGGAGGGAAGGAGACATATCCATTTTCTTCCAATTTGGGAAGACTTGACATTGGACCTACAGGGGATTAAAGCAGGGTGCAAAATAGAATTTCATTAGTTTGAATGGTCCCCAATGCTATTATATCTGAGGAAACCTAAAATCGAGTTTGAAGCCATTAGTCAACAGGTAGAGGTAGGAGTAGTGGAGTTAAATGTGTCTTGGAGCAGAATCTTTAGTGTATTCAAGTATTCTTTGTGACCCCTCAAAAAAGACAGAGACTGTGGCACCATATTGGATTTCAGTTACATAAGCAGTTTTGTTGTTTACAGGGGAAATGGCATAAATCAGTGGTTCTCAACCTGTGGGTCTCCAGATGTTTTGGCCTTCAATTCCCAGAAATCCTAACAGCTGGTAAACTGGCTGGGGTTTCTGGGAGTTGTAGGCTAAAACGCCTGGGGACCCATAGGTTGAGAACAATTGGCATAAATAGACCCATCTTCATATTTCTGGTTTTGGATCTTCCCAACATTTTTTAATACCATTTTGAATTCTCCACTGTCTCAAGGATTTTTGGAGACCAGGGACATACTTTCTTGGGTAAGATGTCATCCAGTGGACGTACAAGAGTTCTCCTTCTGTATCCTATATTGAATTGCCCATATAAGGCATACCTTTCTGTAATTGTTTTCATCGCTCATGCGTTATCTTGTATGGTAGGTCGAGGCTGAAACAGATTTGCTGGACCCAAAGCAATTCTTTTAATTTCCACAAAGAATACACACAACATTTTAAAACAGAATCCCATTTTCAGGAGGCTGCTTAAGTTAGGATTGGTTTGAAAACAAGACACATGCTTTCCACATATTTTGTGGTAGAGGATAACCATGGTTTGTTTTGCTCTCAGCACACTCAGTGGTGCAGCAACAAAATTGGCAAAGGCTGTCAGGAAAATTGAGATAGATCACCTTTTTAAATCTCAGCTTCTTCGACCTTCCAAGTTCTTCTTGAAGTCACGAAGATGTAAAAGCACCGGACTCTTCAATTCAGATTGCATCGAAAGCGGCACTTTGTCTTTATTTACAAAATATACATTCCAGTCTCCGGTCGTGTCCGATCACACCTTCGCACACTGCACGAAGCACATAGCAAGCTTCTTTTCCGGTCTGCACAGGAAACTACCAAATTTTCATATCCCATGCATTTCTGAAACCATACCATTTAAACTATAAGCAATTTTCACACCAGAAAACATTTCATACTGACAAAGGCTGCAACATTGATATGGAGGCATTTTACAGTTTTATGGGGCTCATTTTCTTGAGTGACATATGAAACTGTTTTAAGTTTTATTTTTTTGCTCTGTGAAGTATTGAGAGTTCATGTTGCTGGTGATTACATTTCTTCCATGAGAGGGCAGATTTACCCTGTATTTTGTGGAGTCTCATTCAATTGTTCATTCATTATTTGCCATTTCTGCCTTTTGTAGGACAATCCATGGGTTGATCTACAATGCACTGAAGCTATTCATGGAGATGAACCAGAAGCTGTTTGATGACTGTACACAGCAGTACAAGGCAGAGAAGCAGAAGTAAGTAGTTTGTCTGGGGAAACTGTGGCTGAGAAGATAATTTTTTCAGCTTCAAGGCCTTTCCTCTAGATAACAATAAGAAGTAAGCAACGAATACATGCCAGTCGCCTTAAAGCTCTCAAGCAGCCTGGCATTTCATATTACTTATTAACATGGAAGAGAAAATATCTTCCAAGTGCACATGGATTGCATCCAAGGGTTGTGTCGTGTACAAGGGTCCTGGTATGAGGGCTGAGGTTTAATTACACAAAAGCAAGATAAACAAGACCATATTTGTTGTCAAAGGCTTTCATGGCCGGAATCACTGGGTTGCTGTGAGTTTTCTGGGCTGCATGGCCATGTTCCAGAAGCATTCTCTCCTGACGTTTCACCCACATCTATGGCAGGCACCCTCAGGTTGTGAGGTCTGCTAGAAACCAGGCAAATGTGGTTTATATATCTGTGGAATATCCAGGGTAGGAGAAAGAACTCTTGCCTGTTGGAGGCAAGTGTAGCTGTTGCAATTGGCCACCTTGATCAGCATCGAATGGCCTTGCAGCTTCAAAGCCTGGCTGCTTCCTGCCTCACTTGCCTAATTTCCAGCAGACCTCACAGCCTCTGAGGATGCCTGCCATAGATGTGGGCGAAAAGTCAGGAGAGAATGATTCTGGAACATGGACATAGAGCCCGGAAAACTCACAGCAACCCAGTGATTCCAGCCATGAAAGCCTTTGACAACAAATATGGTCTTGTTTATCTTGCTTTTGTGTAATTACAGCAACCGAAGACACACACACAATCGATTTTTAAACATCTGTGGACTGTTCATATAATACTATGAAAAGCATTTAATTCTGACACTTTATATATAAATCAATATCTTATTACAAAATTTATTTTTCTATATTCATGGACTTCAGATGCCCCTCTATTGACTGTGATTAATACTACATTGAATCTAATTTCAAGTCGAGAGTGAACTAAACGAACTATTGTCTCTTTAGTTCCTTCTGTCATGTACTACAGTATATTTAGACCTTTGTAATGGATATTATGTGACAGAAAACAGGACTGGTTTGAATAATAGAATCATAGAGTTGGAAAAGACCTTTTGGGCCAGCCAGTCCAACCCCCTGCCAAGAAGCAGGAAAATCACATTCAAAGCACCCCCAATAAATGGCCATCCAGCCTCTGTGTAAAAGCTCCATAGAAGGAGCCTTCACCGCACTCCAGGGCAGACAGTTTCACAGCTGAACAGCTCTCACAGTCATAGTTCTTCCTAATGTTCAGGTGGAATCTCCTTTCCTGTAGTTTGAAGCCATTGCTTAGTGTCCTAGTCTCCAGGGCAGCAGAAAATAAGCTTGTTCCCTCCTCCCTATGACTTCACCTCATATATTTATACATGGCTATCATGTCTCCTCTTCTTCAGGCTAAACATGCCCAGCTCTTTAAGACACTCCTCACAGGGCTTGTTCTCCAGACCCTTGATAATTTTAGTTGCCCTCCTCTGGATAAACTTTGGGTCAGTGTTTTATAAATGAAAAGTGTGGGAGCGTGGAGGACTGGATGTCAGTTGTGGGCCACATTTTGTCCATCCCTGTATTGCAAAGCTGCTTTACAACAACAGCCAACTGTGTGCGGACTTTCTTCCTTGCTGTGTCCATACTGAGAAAGCAAAGCTATATTACCTTCTGGGGCATAAGAAACAATGACACTGACCTGAGTAAATACAGAGCCACGTGACACCTTAAGGACAAAGTGATTTTATTGTCGCATAAGGCTTTGTGGGATAATTGAAAGTTCTGAGTAAACACGCATAGGGTCATGCTGTCAGGCACATTTTGTCCCCTTTAAAATCATTGGATTTAAGAGATTAAGTGTACTGAACGTGCCCAGTTGTGCAAAGCTCTGCGTAGAAAGCCTGTTAAATGCTACAAAGCCAAAAGTGGGAGGTCTTTAACGTTGAGGCCCAGGTGAGTTTGTGAAAGAGGGAAGGTCATAGAAGAGGGATTCATACTCTGTGCGAAGGGGACATTATTTAATTTATCCGAAGGCTTTCATGGCTGGAATTGCTGGGTTGTTGTAAGTTTTTCGGGGTGTATGGCCATGTTCTAGAAGCACTTTCTCCTGACATTTTGCCTGCATTTGTGGCATGCATCCTCAGAGGTTTTGAGGTTTGTGAAAACTAGGAAAATTGGGTTTATCTATCTGTGGAAGGTCTTGGGTGGGAGAAAGAACTCTTGTTCTTGCAGCTGTGGGCAAGTCTACATAGGGACCACCAAACGCAGCATTGCCCAAACACAAATCAAGGAACATGAAAGGCACTGCAGACTACTTCAACCAGAGAAGTCAGCTATAGCAGAGCACCTAAAGAACCAACCTGGACACAGCATATTATTTGAGAACACAGAAATGCTGGACCATGCTAACAACCACCATGTCAGACTACACAGAGAAGCCATTGAAATCCACAGTCGTGGACAATTTCAACAGAAAGGGGGAAACCATGAAAATGAACAAAATCTGGATACCACTACTAAAACACTCTAAAATTAAAACAGTAAATAAAAAACCCCCCTCAAACACAGGGAAACTCCAGACAAGAAACAATCAGGAACACCTAATCACTCCTCAACAAAGGATTCCCCCAGGCCGTAACAAGCCACACCAAAAAATCATCAGGCCATCAAATGCTAATCAATGTGGCCAATTGAAACATTCACACCTAGCACCAACAGAGAAGAGAACATGGCCATACAGCCCGAAAAAACCCCAACAACCCATTATTTGTTTGAATGAAAGGAAATAGGAGCAACTGTGGGTTTTTAGGAATCATGGGAGGTCAGGCTAGGATAGAGTTTCCTTCTGAGACACATGGAACTAGGAGATGGGGATAGGTGGATCTCCCTATGTGAATTGAACAGTAAATCCCAAGAAGTCTTGTCTGTGCTCTGCTTATGGAAATTGAAAGCCAGCAAAATACGGACGACATCTTCTCTATTCCAGGGGGAAATTGTTTGTTTGTTTGTTTATTTATTTATGACATTTCTACCCTGCCTTTCTCACCCCGGAGGGGACTCAAGGTGGCTTTACACATAGGCAACAATTAGATGCCTTAAAATATAATGTACACTTAAATAAATGTTAAAATAAATTAAAAATTACATTTAAAACTTTAAAAACAATACATTCAGAGTTAAACACATAATCCACGAACATTCCAATGGTCATTGCATGTTGTTCCAAGTCTAGCTATTGCACAAGTTATCTTAAGGCTTGGTCCAAAAGCCATGTTTTCATTCTCTTGCAGAAGGTCAGGAGGGAAGGGATTGAACTAATATCCCTGGGGAGGGAATTCCACAGCTGAGAAGGCCCTGTGTCTCGTATTGGCCAATAGTGCCTGCGAGGGAGGTGGGAATGAGAGCAGGGCCTCCTCAGATGATCTTAAGTTCCGAGATGGTTCCTAGGGAGAGATCCGTTGGGACAACTAAGCCAGGCCAGAACTGTTTAGGGCTTTATAGGATAAAGCAAGCACTTTGAATTGTGCTTGGTAGCTGATTTGGCAGCCAGTGGAGCTGATGTAACAGGAGGGTTGTATGCTCCCTGTACACTACTCCGGCGAGCAGCCCGGCTGCCACCTGTTTGACCATTTGTAGCTTCTGAACAGTCTTCAAAGGCAGCCCCACGTAGAGTAGTTGCAGTAGTCTATTCGGGATGTAACCAGAGCATGGACTACCGTGGCCAAGTCTGACTTCCCAAGGTACAGGCGCAACTGGTGCACAAGTTTTAATTATGCGAATGCTTCCCTGGCTACCACCAAAACCTGGAGTTCCAGGCTCCACAGTGAGTCCAGGAGAGCTCCCAAGCTGCCAACATGCGTCTTCAGGGGGAGTGTAACCCCATCCAGCATAGGCTGTAACCCTATACCCTGTGAAATTATGTCCCTATCTATTCAGAATGAAACAGTATTATTATTCCTCACATCCCCAACAAACCTTTGGTATGACCACTGGAGAAGGAAAAGTTCAGAAATCTCAATGAAAAAAAAATTCTTTTCACTTTCAGAGGACGATTCAGGTTGAAAGAACGAGAAGAGATGTGGCACAAGATTGAGGAGCTAGCCCGCCAAAATCCTCAGGTATTGGTCATTACTATGAAAGGAAATGTGTTTCAGAATAGTCCTTGCATTTTTGCTGTGGTTACAGGACCATAACTTGTTACTGTCATTAGTCCAGTGGGTATTGCTGAGCTCAATATGTGTGCATTTGTATAAAAACACATGTGATTAAACCTCGGATCATTGCATGGCCTTAGGTCAGCTGCTCTTATTTTCAGTTTCTCACCTGTACAAATAGGCATGATTGGGAGGCAGAATGACAAAAAAGCAAACGAAATAGTTATGTTGTGCTTAGGTGGATGTTGAAAAACAAACAGAACTTAAGTCAGTCCTTTTTGACAAAGCAGAGCTTGGAAAACACATTGCAATGGGCTACAACTTCCAGAATCTTTCAACCAGCATGATTTGTTTGGGTTTTTTTTTTCCATGTCGGGGGCGGCTTAAACTGCAAGTCGCTTCTGGTGTGAGAGAATTGGCCATTTGCAAGGACGTTGCAAATGTTTTACCATCTTGTGGGAGGCTTCTCTCATGTCCCTGCATGGGAAGCTGGAGCTGACAGACCGGAGCTCACCCCGCTCCCCGGATTCGAACCATTGATGTTTCGGTCAGCAGTCCTGCCAGCACAAGGGTTTAACCCTTTGCACTACCGGGGTCTCCTCAACCAACATGGTCAGTGGCTAGCAGTGGTTTTCAATGATTTCAGATATGGTTCTTTCCAGGCCCTATCCAGAGATGTCAGAAATCTGGGACTCTTTCCATGGAATGTAGATGCTTTGTCATTAAACTACCCTTCTTCCCCACATCACTAAGCCACTGGAACACAAGTCATTGTTATGGAGTATATGTATCTTATTCATTATTGTCTTCTATGCCCTTTACATGGACTTGCCTTGAGCCCTTTATCTATGAGGAACTTCCAAACATCTGAACCAATATTTAGCTCTGTAGATATTTTAGACTTCAGTTTCCAGAATCCTTGACTATTGGCCTTACTGGCTGGGACTTCTAGAGACTGAAGTCTAAAGCAAATGGAAGAACAGAGGTTGAGAATCACAGGAAGGACTAGGAGACTTATATGGTATGGTATGGGAGGAAAGTAAGTTAGGAAGGACTCAAAATAATAAATACCTATCTGTGACATTCTTTACTTATAGAAAGCAAATTTGTTTATTTATTTGATTGATTGGTGGCATGTACTTATTTTGTCTTGGTATATGAGGTTTTATTTATTGAGATATAGAAGTCAAATTGAACTGTTGGCCATGCTGTTTGAGAAATGTTGATAGTCTGAGACATTCCAAATCGGAGCTTGGAAAAGTTACTTGGGGAGTGCAGCCTGCAGGATTCCCAGCCAGTACTGAAGTACACTTGAGAGAGTTATGATTCAAAATAAAGTTTTGAGCTTTGATCTAGCATTCCTCAGGTTCTCAATCCCTAAGCCATGGGCATGTATACAGACATATATCTCGTATTTATTAATTTATTTATTTAAAGTATTTATATACCGCTTTTCTCACCCTGAGGGGGACTCAAAGCGGTTTACACATAGATAATGGCAAAATTCAATGCCGTACAACTACAATAATAAAACCACACATTAGATACAAAACATATTAACACAGTACATCACCAAATATCAAAACAAGTATTTCTATCCCATACTGTCATTACTTTTCAGCTAACATTTTCAGAAGCAAAATATTTGGGAAATATTATTGCATCTGTGTTTCCAGAGACTAGATATGGGCGTGCTGGCTACAAGATTCTGGAAGTTGGAGTCTACAAAGTAACTTTCTGAGCCCTTCTTTAATTAAAGTTAAGAGATAGGGCATTAGTTCTCTCTCTTAGGTCTAATATACTGCTCTTGCATAGTTGCATCCTTGTAGTTGAAGTCTGAACTAATTACCAGGGTTAATTTCACTAGGGTCTTGCACACCACTAATAAAATACTTTTCTCTTCTTTCCAAAGTCTCTTGGAGGAATCGATAAAAATCAGATTGCTATAGGTGACAGCTCTTTATCTAAACCACTATATAACTATAAAATACCTGATGTCTTTCCAAAAATGTAATACCACATCAGCCATTCATGGTGGCGCCCCCGGTGGCGCAATGGGTTAAACCCTTGTGCCGGCAGGACTGCTGACTGACAGGTTGGCAGTTCGAATCCAGGGAGCGGGGTGAGCTCCCATCTCAGCTCTAGCTTCCCATGCGGGGACATGAGAAATCCTCCCACAAGGATGGTAAAACATCAAACATCCGGACGTCCCCTGGGCAATGTACTTGGAGACGGCCAATTCTCTCACACCAGATGTGGCTTGCAGGATGTAAAAGAGCATATTTACAGTGCTGTGACATCTAAATGACTTCAACACAGTGCAAATGCTTATTCTATACTGTGTTGGAGTCATTGTAAATATGCTTGTTGCATTACTCACAGGGCCTGACAATAATGCCATATCAGTGAAGGCCACAAATTAAAGAAGAAGGAAACCAGCCAGAGAAGGGGAATTAAATAATAATCCACACATTTCCTGTGGGCAAATGTATGGAATATGAAAACAGAAATTGGGAAGAATTTATTTTATATTCCTCGTGTCATTTGACAATAGGGAATTCCATTGTTACAGAACACACATTCACACATGCCCATTCACTGTTAAATTTACACTGACTTAGGGCACATTGAATGTGCTTATTATGTTGTATAAAGCCCTATAAAAGTGGTTCTCAACTTGTGGGTCCCCAGATGTTTTGGCCTTCAACTCCCAGAAACCCTAATATCTGGTAAACTTGCTGGGATTTCTGGGAGTTGTAGGCCAAAACACCTGGGACCCATGGGTTGAGAACCACTGCCCTATATGATTTAGGAAAAGATAATTTAAGGCTTAGTGTGCCATCATAATATACAGGTTGAGTATTCCTTGTTTGAAATTCTTGGGACCAAAAGTATTGTGTTTTGGGGAGATGGGGAATATGGTAGCTTTTTGGAATAGCCTTGTGCCTCATTCATTCGTTACTTGTGTTGTGTATGAAGAGTGAGGCTGGAGAGAGATTTGGAATTTGTGAAATGTTGGGAAACGGAAACTTTTGGCTGAAAGCTGCCCATTTTTGCCTTCGGCATGATGATCATGAGCTCCTGCTCATTTGTTTCTCATATCCTCAATCTATCTCTCCAACCTCATGTTTTATAAGCAACTGAATGAGATGCGAGTCTGGCAGGAGACTGGGGATCTGAGAGATGAACCAAGAGGTGCATCACAGCCATTGCCTCAAAGGAAGAAGTAGGCAGCTGGCAGGAGAAAAGTTTCCATTTTGGTATTTTAGAATTCATAGAATCCTAGAGTTGGAAGACACCTCGTGGGCCATCCAGTCCAAGCCCCTGCCAAGAAGCAGGAAAATAGCACCCAGAGCACCCCCAGCAGATGGCCATCCAGCCTCTGTTTAAAGGCCTCCAAAGGAGGAGCCTGCACCACACTCTGGGGCAGAGAGTTCCACTGTTGAACAGCTCTCACAGTCAGGTAGTCCTTCCTAATGTACAGATGGAATCTCCTTTCCTGTAGTTTGAAGCCATTGCTCAGTGTCCTAGTCTCCAGGGCATCGGAAAACAAGCCTGCTCTCTCCTCCCCATGACTTCCTTCTCCTCACATCTTGATCCATGGCCCTTGTCATGTCTCCTCTCAGCCTTCTCTTCTGCAGACTTAATGTGCCCAGCTCTTTAAGCCACTCCTCATAGGGCTTGTTCTCCAGACCCTTGATCATTTTAGTCGCCCTCCTCTGGACACATTCCAACTTGTCAACATCTCCCTTCAATTGCGGTGCCTAGAACTGGACACAGCATTTCAGGTGCGGTCTGACCAAGGCAGAATAGGGGGGTAGCATGACTTCCCTGCATCTGGACAGTATACTTTTATTTATGGAGGCCAAAATCCAACATCTTTTTCACACGTATTACTGTTGAGCCAGGCATCCCCCATTCTGTATCTTTACATTTCTGGATAAGAGAGACACAACCTGTAAAAAGGCATCTATCATCGGAAGCATGTGTGATAAGCCTTCTTGGTGGCTTCTCTTAGCCACTAAAACCTCCTGTTAAAAAGACCAGACTACATCCATCACTGTTCTTCCATGCGTGAGTGCAGATATTTTCATCTAGACAGGGCCCTTTGCATTTTTTTCCAGCAGAAGAGATCAGAAGTCACAGAATCCCCAACCAGCATAATCCTGCTGGTTTAGAGATTCTGAGAGTTGTAGTTGGGAATAGCAATTTTTTTGAACCCTGCAGAGTGGCGTTTAGTAGGTGAAATAATTCTTAACTGGTATGTTCTGTTTGTTTCTCTTTGATTAAGCTGTACTTAATTGACTTGTTTTGTTGTTTTAATTATAATTCCATATTTTATCTGTATTTAATTGTTAGATGTCTTAAAGCTGGATACAGAATTAAATGAATAAATACCCTAAATCCACTTGCTAGTCCTTATTACAGTAAACACATTGGATCAGTGGGATTTACCTAAGTGTTCTGTTTCATATTAGGTCATTAATTTGATGCATCTACTCTAGTTGGGACTTGCAGGTGGATTTAGGCCACTGAATTACCTATGTTGTCTGTGTTAAACATTTGGTGTTTTCAGTACTTGAGTTGCTGAGCTTGCATTCCCATTTTTCTGTGTGCTGTGTTCCTGCAGTACCCCATGTATTGCGCACCCCCACCTTTGCCTCCTATTTATTGCATGGAGACGGAGACCCCCACTGCAGAGGACATACAGCTACTGAAGAAAACGATGGAAACAGAGGCTGTGCAGGTGACTTATCTGTATATCCCCAATGGAACAAGACCCTCTGATAGCACAGGAGTGAGGAACATGTGGCCCTCCCAAGTGTAGCAAATGATAAATGATAATGCGGATTGCAGTCCAGCTTCACCTGGACGATCACATGGTCCCCAGACCTGTTGCAGCGTGCGGTTCTTGATTTCCACTGGATTTCCTCTTGAGCAAGCAAGTATGCTCACTCTTGTAGAGACTTCGTTAATTAGTTTTGGAGGTAGGTTAGGGGTCAGTGAGGAAGGGAAATAGGATTGTTTGGAAGTAATGTCTCTTAACGGATCCCTAGCACCTGATTGGCTTGGTGCTGTAGAAAGGTATATGTGGGTTCCAAATGTGGATCTTTTGCACACTACAGGAGAAGGTATGCATCTGTTTGTTAATTGTTGAAGAGCACAGGTGGGAAGGTACTGTTGCGAGATACAATAAGTACTTTGGAGGGAAAGCAGTGTCTCCACCAGCCTACTAATGCTGCTGTTGAGGAGTGGATGGAGACTGCTCTCTCTTCCTGATTCCTCTCCATGTGTGCAGCAACTGTGCCTGTGTGCATTGAGGGAAGAGGGAGGAATAGCCTCGTGAATCCGAAGAGCCATTCACTGACTAAAGCAGGGGTAGGGAACCTTTGGCCCTCCAGCTGTGGTGGACTTCAACTCCCACAATTCCTTGAGGCTCGGCATTGGGCCAAGGTAAGCCTTTGGGGCGAATTCCGAGCCTCAAGGAATTGTGGGAGTTGAAGTCCACCACAGCTGGAGGGCCAAAGGTTCCCTACCCCTGGACTAAAGGGATGGAGCAGGCCCCATGATTGCAATCGTGCAAAGGAGGTATAGAATATCTCCTTTCGCAACAGTCCCAAGAAATATAATTGTGGATTATGCCTATATATATCACCAAAGGGTATGTTAGTCTTCATATCTTGCTTTTGGGCTTCACATAGGCGACTCATGTTGTGGACAGGTTGCTGGAATTGCAGATTGATCCAGCAAGGCTCATCCAATGTTTATCATAACTCATTCTTTTATGATGGCGGTTCACAAAGCATCGTGTAGTGTTTATGTCTGGCAATCCACCCATAAAACTGCTGCCATTTTGCGAATCAACCCAGTGTTTCTCAGTACATAATCTGCCAATTTCCTCAAAACACTGTTCACCATGCACCTATATTCTTGGAGAACTGGTAGTGCACAAAAACCACTGAAATTCACAATTGGCTGGGAGGTTCTGCAGGATTAAGCCCCCAAAAGTGAATTTTCCAAGCTCTGCTTGGAACAAAATGATTTATTTATTTATTTATTTATTTTTGCGTCAGACGTCAGGAACATTACTAAATCACTCAGGCAATTTGTGGCTATCACTTCTTACGTTAAATATTTCAGTAAAAATATGGTCCTCCAGTGATGCTTGCCCCAGTTGTTCTGTGTGTGCACTGCAGGTCTGCCTTGGATATATTTGGACCTATTATCTGGGTCAGCAGAGATTGGGTCCCCACTGCTACAGGGGAGCTACTGGCAAGTGCTACTGCTCACTTGTGCTCCCACCGTGCTTGCTCTGATCCCCAGTTATTGCTCACCCCTTGTACATTTCCTTCTCCATTGCCACATCTGCCTTGTTCACCCAGCACTTTGTATGCTACCTCTCCTCCCCTTCATCTGCATGTAAGTTCCTAACCCCAGTGTCCTATATCACCCAGGCAGCATGACCAGTTGCTGTAGACTGCAATGTCCTGCATCACCCACCCAGCATGACCAGTAGTCCTGCTGGCTTGGAATTCTGGGGAGCTGTAGTGCAAAGTTGTGAATTTTCCAAGTTGTGCATTCCTCCTCCAAACACTCTCCTTTGCTAGCCCAGCATGCTTCTAACTGAGACCTCTAGATTTCCACAAAGCAAAACATCCAGGAAAATAGAAAGATTGGCATATGGTGTTGGAGCTGAATGGAGTCTGATGATGCAGAACTCACATAGGGCTTCATTTCTTTTATGTGTGTAGGTGTATAAAAGAAAGATGGTGATGAAGGGGTTTCTGAAAGAGGACTAATCAGTAAAATACAACTTATAGTTGAAATTGTACTCAAGATTTCTCCACCATAATTTACACACAGGCCTTCATGCTTACTGCTCAGCCTCACTGTTCCCCATTTGTATGAATGAATGGTTTCTAGGTTGTGTTCCTACGCTCATTATAATTTGATGCATGTGTTTGTTGATCTGTATGTTTCTAGCTTGGCTGGCTTGCTCAGATTGTCAGCTTTGTTCCCATTTTGTTACCTCAGTTTGCAGTTGTGGCACTGCCATAGTCTTGTGTTGTGATCTCTGGTAATTTGACACCATGCAAAGATGGTATTTCTTGATAGCTGAGCCCTTCTAAGAAAATAGTATACTTTTAGGTTGCTAGTACATATAACGTAGACCTTGTTGATACTGTTAGATTGCAACTCCCATTATTTCTAATCCATGGCCATACTGGAAAGGGCTCTTAGGAGTTGGATTTAGGCGAAGTGGGTAGCTTTTTGCTGGACATACTCATTTCAAACATTGCAAACCTCTCCTGTCATTATCCCAGGGTGGAGTTTGGGCGGAAAGAGTGAGCAGCAAGGCAACAAGAAATCCACAAACTCTGGAGCTGACTGTAGTTAATATTAACGTTGACATCAGCCTCCTGTAAACAATCTAAAATGAGCAGCCCAAAGACAGTGTGAGGAAGTGAGTGGGAGAGAGGTGTACACTCTGGAATTTGCTTCTTAATTACTTTTGGATTTGTGTTTAGATGCTGAAAGACATGAAGAAGGAGAAAGTGCTGCTGCGTCGGAAATCGGAGCTTCCTCAGGATGTCTACACCATAAAGGCCCTGGAAGCGCACAAGAGAGCAGAAGAATTCCTCACCTCAAGCCAAGAAGCACTCTGACGGGCTAGGGAGACCCCGGAGGGTACACAGAAACGCACTTTGTTCTAATGTATAACTAGGGAATGAACATGGTGAGCTGTGCCTGTCCTCCACTCCATTCTCATTCTTTCAGGTTAGATTTGATTTTACATTGTACCTCATATCCCACCACACTGTCACTTCCTCCTGCTTTATCCTCTTAAGGTTGTGTTTGTGTGCACGTGTGAAAGGAGCCTAGCCAATCCGTAAGAGTAGCATTCCACACAGGAGGCATCCCAGTTCCTGTCGTCATTGATTTGACTCCAGTCCCAGGACCAAAGCAGTGAGAGTTCAGGCATTTATCAGCCACACACTACTACAGGAGTGGGCTCCACAAGTGGTCTTCCAGATACCATTCAGCTACGGCTCCCATCTTCTCTTGCTGTTGGCTATGCTAGTTGGAGCTGATGGGCACTGTAGTCCAACAACATCTGGAGGACCACCTACCCCTGCACTACAATAATGATTCACTATAGCTTCCTAACACTGGCTTTGAACTCCCATTACCATCCATCTTCACACGATAATACAAGAGCTATATGTGACGTTGGTTGTGCAGGTAAATACAAGTGATTTTCTAGGGATCAAGACATGCTAGGCTAGATTTGAAAATAATGTATGTTCTTCCTGTCCCCCTCTGGCCAAATAAATGGCTAATTGGTAATAGAGACTTTTGGTTGGTTTGGTTTATATCAATAAGGGTAACTGTATTTGCACTTTTTCCATCCCAGGAATTGTGAGGCAGTTGCAGCCATCTAGAACCACTACTTTCAGCTCTGTGTTAGTTTTCATCCTCACAGATGGCTAGCAATTGGTTGCGATGCCCTGGTAGCATAACCGCCGCATGACAAGTTCACTTACTCTTTGGTTTCTTCTCTAACTCAGAACTAAAGCCAGAGTGAATCTGAAGCAGATTGCCATAATGAAGACCAACTCCCATCCAACTCTTGGCTCTTTAAGTTCCAGAGAATCCTAAATAAATGACTTGCTAACAAGAAAGCTTATTGAACACTTTCACAAACAGCTTTAAATATTCAGCATTTTGGAAACAACAGAAATAGATGCACAATTAAGGAAATGTCAGTTTCCATTTACTGAGTATGTAATGTTTGGTATGGATTAGACCTCATTGTGCTTGTGTTCATTTCAGCTTTTCTAGCCCAAGAAGGAGAAGTTGCTGACCTTCTTTTAGGGGATATATAAATTTAGAGGCTTCTGCTGCTTTCCCTAAGCTACTGCTCTCCTACAGATAATACTTGGCTTTGCTTAATGTCCTGCCATTGTTCACAGGCTGCTAACTAAATTTCTGGACTTGGAACCTCATAAAAGGGAAAGACACTTACTCTAGCTGGTTCTTCACCCACTTCTTGCCTGTGGACCAGGAGCGTGAAAAGCACAGCCCAGATGTTGTTGGAATGCAATTCACAGTCGTCCGAACCACGTTAGCCAGTGGTGAGGAATGCTGAAAATTCCAGTCTAACAATATCCAGAAAATGGCATTCTGCGTAACCCTGGTGTAAACTTTCCATTCATATCTTTAGAAGTGAGACTTGACAAATTTCATTAGACTAATCCTGACATAACATTTTATTTGTCGGAGTCTCATTTTTTGTCCTTGGCTGCTAATTTTAAATCTGCAAGAACTACTTCAAAGTAAATTCCATTGAAATCAAAGAAAGTACAATATGTCTCTTTCTGCTCTACCCAACATTGTTATTCTTTCCTGTTTAAATCTTTAGATGGCGTATTGCCTTGTCTACCTACCGACTGTTAACCCAGTTGTGCTTTCTTACTTCTTCTCTGTTTTAAGTAATTTTATTCTGAGAACCCTGAAATCTAATTTCTTAGACGTACCTCTCCTTGTTGTACCTGTGCATTCTTAACCTTTGAAAAGTGAACAGTTTAACACCAGACAGGTGGGAATTCCCCAGTTTTTGACACCACTATAGCTAATACACAGTGTTGCTTTCTTTGAGCTGCAGAACAGTTTGAATTGGAATGGAACCACTCACTTTATGCCGTGAGATATAGCTGATAATTGATTATTACTGTTTGCTGCTAGAGATACCCATGGAACATTCCTATTCTCAGCCAGCAAAGAAAGAGCCATCCAAGAAAGAGTTATTTTCAGTTGCTGCCTAGGTGAGGCAAGGGATCACATGAGTTTGGGAAATATTTCCTCTTGGATCCCTAGCTCCTTGCCTCATCCAGGAAAACTGTATATTGGCTTCTCCACTTTTCTTTTGCTTAAATTCCTTACCTTTGCTGTTTTTCTTCTTCTGCTTCCCTTGTCTTTTCTGCTTGCATTGAGGGGAGGGGGGCAGCTTTTTTGCCATATTCCCCTTGTCGTAGTTTTCTGACTTCTTCTGTAGTCTTTTTTTTGGGGAGGGGGGGGAGTGAAGGGATACAGGAAGACTAATATTAAAATAAAGGTCCTGTAGGGCCCAAGACACCATCTATTCGACATGCTAAGCTGGTCTATGATGTGGGGGCACTTCTTTAATTAACTGAGCCCCCTGATTTTTCTGAGCAGATTGCTGATAGAGACACTTCGGAGAGTGGACAATCTAAGCAGGTGACCCAGATGAGTCACCTCAAAAATTGCATTCGCATACATACTCATACATACATAAAACATTGCATACATACTCATGGAGGTGGCCACTTGAGGCCCAAGCAGAGGATTGCCATTTTGAGCAGACCAATCTAGACTTTGCCATGTTTTTTTTCTGTTGCTATGCCATTTTAAAACCAGGATTTTTCACTGAAACAGTTGCGTTCCATGGTTGCTAATGAGCTTAAAAAGGTGAGCCAGCTATCTTCCCCAAGTCTTCTTTACATCTAAGAGGCTCAGAGATCTCTTCCTGACATCTACCGCACATGCTTCTGTCCCCCCAGTTTCCCCATGGAAACAGAGTAGGGCTGCAGGGCATTTATATCTTCACCTACCTGGATGTTAGCCTCCTGAAATCACACACATTTTCAGAGTGTCAAAAAATCCCCATGACTACCATGATGGCTCTCCGGGACTACAGCTTCATGGTCAGTAGAAACAAGAGTAATCTTGTTTCAACCCAGAAGCTTGTCCACACACACAAAAAGAGTGCATTACTTCCCCTCCAGAGAGATTAGAAGAAAATAAGGGAGGAAGCTCTTTTTTAAAGAAGAGGTAGACATGTTTTCTGGGCCTGATGATCTCCTATATTCAACTGTCCACTTGGGCAAGATTTCACTCCCTCTACTGCAGTGGCTCCTTTAACCCTTTCGGACATTCATAATGGAAAGTCACCACATCAAAGTTCATCAGGGAAATTTATGGATTCCTCTTCTAGTGGAGTGCCAAAACTCTTGTTAAGAGATCCCCCAACAAGTCCCTCCAAGGGGAGTTCTCACATACGCCAACTCCCTGGATTTGTGAGTCCATTTCAGAGTTCAGGAGGTTTGGATCCAAGCAGGTAAGAAGCCAAATCAAGAGTTGGCGACAGCTTTATGCCATCAGACTGGTTTTTCTTTACTTCTAACAAACCCTCAGAGGAACACTTGTTTGCACAAATAGTGAGGCAGAAGAACCTTAACTGACAAAAGAGAGAGGGATTCATCTCTTCTCCTTTTACACTTTTTCTGTCCTTTACAGCACAACATATTCAGGGCACTCTAAACACGGAAGTCAATTACCTAAGCCACCACACCTCAGACCTGGGGGAGTGGAACCTGGGCATGACAGTATTTCATTACATTCAAGAATAGTTACCTGCAGTTTGACGCCTTTGCATTAGACAGAAACTACAAACTCCCCAGGTATTTCACTGGACTCTACTCTCTCAGAGCAGAAGGTTAGGCAGGAAAATGGAGAAATTAAAGGCTAAGATTGAAATTAAAGGTACAAGGCCCAAGTGGCCATTGTCTTATCATGGTGACTCTATATTAGACCCATATGTCTTGGTTTTCCCATCTATGAATCCTTTCGACTTCTGGCTCTGCATAGCCTTCTCAGTCAGGATCCATTGTAAACACGGACTGCCTACAACTAGCCATCTGGCAACGGAACCTTTCTCATCTGAAAGCAGACTATTCAGAGAGAGTGGTTAGTACACTTAGCTCTCAGGTAGCATTGTACTTTAAGGATATATGAGACCACCAGAAAAGCTTTTCCAGATAGACTTGGAGAAAGTCCATTCCTCCTTTTACAGCTAGGATGAAAGAGTTCCTTGATTTCTTCCAAGCAGGCCTCAACATAGATCTCAAATTTATCACCTTATGGCAGGCCTGCACAACCTGCAGTGCTCCAAGTCTTTGGAACTCCAACTCCCAGAAGCCTTGGACAACTTGTTCAATAATCAGGAATTCTGAGAGCTGAAGTCAAGCACCTGGAAGGTTTCAGGTTGTGCAGGCCTGCCTTCTGGCAATTAACTGCAGCTGTACCCTCCATTTTATCAATGAATCAACCGGTTTCTCATCACAGCTTCATGTAAAACAGTGGTTCTCAACCTGTGGGTCCCTTGATGTTTTGGCCTTCAACACCCAGAAATCCTAACCGCTGGTAAACTGGCTGGGATTTCTGATAGTTGTAAGCCAAAACACCTGGGGACCTACAGGTTGAGAACCACTGATGTAAAGGGTTTTTGAAAAGGACCTTTGCTTTTTAGTCCTCTAGTAGCTCACTGCTTCACATCTTGAGATTTCCACAAGGTATTAAAAGCCTAGATCCCTACTTGAGCCCATAAAGATTGTTTTGTTCCTGTCCATCTAGGTGCTTCTCTTTATGGTAATCACATCAGCCAGGAGGGTCTCAGAACTAACAGCTCTCTCAGTGGGTCCCATGGTAAATGTGATCCTCGCTCAGTATCCCTCTTGCAGTTTCTCAAGTCGCTCCTGACACGAAAAAAGTATCCTTCTGGCTCGATCCAGGATTCATACCTAAGATAAAATCCTCTTCTCACCACCTGCAGCCCATCCTTCTATCCTCCACCAGTTAGCCTGCTACAGAAGCAATGGCACATACTGGATGTTAGTAGGGCCCTGGAGATATATATTAGATGGACTAGGCGTGTCACTTTTTTTTTACTCACCTTCCAGGCCAAGAAAGTTTCTCCACCTGCACAAGTTGAAAGGATTAAGGCTTGCATTTTTTAGAGCTTAAACCTCCATAGTATGTGGTTAGTGGTCACCTCAGCTACATTCCCAACTAAAACCCCTTTGAAAAAGATTTGCAGGGCTGCAACTTGGGCAACTCTTACCTTTACAAAGCACTATTTATTAGACAAATTCATCTCTGCTAGGACCTTCTTTGGGAGACAAGTGTTCCAACAGGTTCTCTCAGATTGATTTATTTTACTTGCCCTCATCCTTCCCAGGATCCATTTTGGCTAGAGTAGTTTCCTTTCTTGGATGGCATATTTCCTGTTGGCTGAGAACGGCATATTGAGAATTTACTGTGCAGGTTCATTCTAGCCAAGGAGGAGACATCTAAACCAACCTGTAAAAATTTTCCTATCTCGTGCGATCTTCTTTCTTCCCTTTTCTTGGCTTGGGACTAAACTGAAGAAGAGCTAAGGATCAAGAGGAAAGACTTCCAAAAGAACGTATGATTCCTTTCCTCTCCTAGTGCTGTGATTAGAATGAACCCTTTTTTGGATGACTCCTCCTTGGTTAGAATGGACCTTTACTACAAGTTCACAATTGCCGTCCAATGTCTCCTCTCTGGAATATAGCACTCTGTTCTCCTTCCCACTCAGTTTTCTGCCACCACCACAGATGATCATTTTGAGGTCACTGGGCACGCTCAGTCCTTTCTGGGCTGTTTCTGTGGGTTTTCCATCATAATTTCTGTACACCTACAAAGCTTGGTTTGTGCATGGGCGGTGCCATTTTATCTGTGTACTAACGACCACTTAAGAGAATTGAGAGGATTCGTATACAAGATGATGCTAAGCCTCCACTGTCTGCTGTCGAACATTTGCAGTATTTGTTCTCAAAGGTGTGCTGTCTGCCTAATAGCTTCTTAGACCACTGAGGTTCTTATAAGGCCTGCTAACACTATTACTATGTAAGAGGTGAAACAAAAAGTGGGAAGTGGAAAAAAAAACCCCATACGGGGAAAATACGCTTGATGTTCAACATATGCCTATCAGTTCAGTGATTGTAGAACAAGACTGGCAGCAGGACTCACTAAGCCATCTGTATTCAGCCCCTGATCTTCAAGTGTAGTTTATCTGCAGGAAGGGAAAATGAATTTGGAGTTCCTCTCTTCTGAAGTGCAATTTGTTCTGTCTTTCTTCCCCTTCCCACCCAAGGCTGGGCTCTGCAAACAAGAAGGACTGTAGGAAATCCCTTTCTATTTCCACACATATACAATGCAGCACTTCTCTGCCAGTTACAGTTTTGCATGGGGTGGAGCAGGGCTGTAATTGAGCATCATGTGCTGTACAGCTTAGATGTAAATATAGCCTGTCTAATCTTTGTTTTGGGGTCAGGGAATTTGTGTTTGCTACCTAACATTAAAGTTTAGTTTGCTGCCAATTTATTCTGGTGTCCTATGTATCAAATGGGTGGGAGGGGCTGTGGAAGAAACTGGGCGAAAGGAGTAACATCTGCAGCCAAAATTAGCACCTAAAGCATACAGTGTCCAGCCACTATCTTAATCCAGCTCTGTGCAAAATTCCCCTTTGTATTCATCCCAGTTTCTGCTTTTACCTTCCCTTTGTTTTACATGGAGAAGGTTGGAGCTGCCTCTTCCACTTTTTACATATCTCCTCTTAAGAGAGGAACAAGCAAAACTTCCTGGACACAAGTATTAAGCTGCTTTACAGTTCATTATGTACATATGGTGTACTTTATTTTCAGTAGAGTATTACATAGTATGACAGTGTTGGATTTTGTACAGATGTCCCTGTATGTACAGAACTAAATAAAATGGATCTCTTGAAAAAGATGACACGCTGGACTCCACATCATGGCCATCTCTAGCTCTTCAGCCCAAGTGTCACATGGAAAGGTAGGGTGGGATGGGGAAGAAAAGAGAGTAATAGTGCTAAAAACATGCATGTCCAAGGGTCATCCTACAAGGGCTCATTATATCTTCAAGAAGCCTCATTTTCTATCTCCAAGACAATGAAAATATCTCGATGAGCACCATTCCAATCTCCCAGAAGCTGGGCATTATATAAACTGATGGTGGGGGCCATATTTAATGTTAGACAATATGAACACAGAGTTTTGATGCTGGTGGAAGATGAACATCTATCTGACACTTGAGAGACAGAGAATTTAAAGTGCAACACATCACGCTTTGCAGTTTCTTCTGAGGGAGGCATGGGATTCACCATTGGCACTTCCTTCTTTATTTCCATTCTGGCTTGGAGCCACTCTGTCTGGCTTGCAGTGTTCGCTGAACCATATCCTGCCACTGATCGTCCGAGATCTCATTGGCCCACGCAGGAATTGCCAGTGTAGGAAGCTTGATTCCAGCCATCGTCCTTTTCACCAACTCCACATGTTCTAGAGGCAAAGAAAGCGAAAGGATGAGGTGTACAGCACACACTAAAAACCCATCTTCCCACAAAAACAATTTCCATTCAGCACGTGATCTATGAATGGAGATTAAGCAACTCAAGGTAAAAACTCAACAAAAAACTGCGAGTGCTATTAATCTTAACAACCCAACAATCAAGTATGGATGCCTTCCCACAATGCTTGTGATAGTGGTAGAGCATTTATTGAAAAAAAGAGAAACAGCACTGCTTAGGTAACAGTGCTGGTCTGAAAATACTGTCAAAAAACTGGGGGTGGAAAAAGGATTGCCTTCTGTATCATTGCTTCTTAAACTATCTTCCATGGAGGGTCAACAGTTTTCATTCTGTTAGCTATAATTAATTTCATTCCTTTGAAATTCCAAGGACTGTTAGCTTGTGGCCCATCAATAGTTCAGACATTAGATCATCCAGTTCTCTGAAATAGTGTGCTCTTCTAAAACTCCACCCCATTGTCCTAGGAGTCCCTTTCTCCACTAATAAAGATGACTTCTGGGCAGGGAGAAAGGTACAATCCCTCTTGATACTAACAAGCCGCCACCCCACCAACACTAGAGAAAAGAAACTCCATAAGCCATCAGATACTCCATTTCTTGCAGTACACTACTGTTAAGAAATTGCAAAAATGGAAGAGAACAAACACACAATAGCTAGCTGGTTGTAGAGGAACATTTCTCAAAGTTTGGTCTTCCAAGTGTTGTGGACTTCAACTCTCAGAAATCCTACCCAGCTTGACCAATGTATTAGGGTTCTGAGCTGTGAAGTCCAAAAGGACCGGATAATCAGAATATGAGAACTGAGTACAGAACACAATATCAGACATAGACAAGGGGCGTTCAGATTGATATCCCAATGCATTCTTGGTACAGACAATAACTTGCTGTAATATATATTAACAGGGTCCCTGTGAAGAAATAATAAATACACATTCTAGCCTAGAGATTTTTGAAAAAGAAGATAGAAAGTTTCATGGAAAAGGATAGGTCTTAACAGACAGAATGGAAAAGCCTGATTGCAGCAGGGCTTGGTATCTACATTTGCAAACTACCAAGATAGAACCAAAGCACATACTCTTTTTACACCCTTACCTGGATCCATCGGGATAGAACTATGACTGCTTTGAGCTGCAGATCCTTCCTCTTCATCACTATCCACAGGTGGGTCTGGCAAGTGCAATCTCATTGCCTGCATGTGAAAAATCATTAAATGTGTTATCCACAAGGCAAACAAACGTCAATATAAAGTTGTCTCTGTAACCTCACCTTATAAAAAACCCTCAACATACTCCTTGTAACAAAACTGTTACCTACCTGAAGTCGCTCGTTGATGTCAAGGGCTGGCTCTGTGCTGGGCGCTGTTTCTTCAACTGCTGCTGGTCCTTGATCCGGATCTTGGTTCAGGGGCTGGTACAAATAACTATTATTGCTTTCATCTTCTTCGTCTTCAGGCTCTTCACTACTCCACTCTCCAGCAGGATCAGGGGTTCCATCAGGTGTCTCTTGCAGCCCCAGCTCTTCGTGCTCATTTGGACAGATCCTCTCTGGGCCCATTGTCAGTGCCACCACTGGCTCCAAGGCCATGCACTGAGATCTATAGGAAGAATATATTTATCTTAGCCCTTTATATAACACCGTGATTATCAAACTTTTTTTTTACCAGAGACCACTTTGATCAGGGACCACTCTTCTAACATTAGTACCAAAAGGGTTACAAATCAGTTTTTGGTCAACATTAGATTTGGTTTGGCTATTTGGGGTGCTATTTCAGAAAACTGCATTGGATAGACCACATCAGTTCTAGTTCCTGATACAGAACATATCCCACCCAGTAGTCACCATCTGCTCACCTACAGAAACCTAGATTTAATAATATAGAGCAGATGTGGTAGTAGTCATCTTTCATGGGTAGTCAGCCTCTCCCCTCCCGACATCCCCATTGCTTTGGCACTATAAGAGCGTTTCAAGAAACCAGTGGCTCTTGTTGCCACGTGCTTTTAAGGCAATGCTGTGGCAATGGTGAGGCTGCGGACCATATTTTCATTCTTGCGGACCACTGCCCATGGAGCACAGGTTGGGAAACACTGATATAACACAAAACTTCTTTTAAATAACCAAAGAATGTTGTCTGAGAGGCAATTGGCAAAGGGAAATATCCAAAACAGACTTTACAGATAAGAACAAGAATAACTGAGACCCTTTTCATCAGTGCTGAGAGCTACGGTATATCCACTGACATCACATACTGACAATCCCCTGACTAAACATTATGTATAATATTGGGTTTTAGGTTATCTTTCATGAAACTATGGGCTCCCGTTAAAACTTAGATGAGACAATTTACATAATATAATCAACAGCAAACAAGCTTCCTAGAAGGGCTGCTTATACAACATTGTTGAAACATGAGACTGGGGTCTCTTGGGTGCTTTTATGGTTCAGTTTTAGGTATGTCACACTCCATTAAAGAGAACATGACCTAAGGCAAAGCTGGTAACTGGCTCCTCTTGAGTTTCTAATCCTCTCCACTACTACCAAAAATTTTGAGAGCAATTCCCTGCCCTCATTGTTGATAAAATCACTGTGGCTTAGAACAGACACTAATTTTATGGATTGTTTTTTCTTACTTGAAATTTATATTTTACTACAACTAGAGTATATGTAATGCACATGTTTTGTTGTAAAGGCTAGCAGTGTTACCGGAAAAAATATGAGACTTGTGAACAAAGTTTGGGTCTTCTTATCAAAACAGCTCTTCTGAGAAGAAAGAACTCCCAGGAATTGACTGTATGCATCCCTTGAGCCAAAATGATTGAACAGAGACTATTGTACTTTGCACATATAATAAGAAAACATATTAGAAAAGACAGTGGAAAAAGCCAAAGACATGATTCCTCAAACAAGGAAGCCATGGTTGCCTTGGAAGACTCATTCACAGGTTACCATTTGTCAAAGCCCACTTGATGGCAATTAACATCAACAAGAAAACCCCATAAATCTTGTTATAATAGGGAAAAGCCAAGAAAATTAATTCGTTTTTGTTTCTGCAGACATTCTAACAGTGAAAGAATGGTGGCCACTGGGGGTAGCAATGTACATAAATGACCTGAGAGTCACATCCTATTTACCCTTGCCCTAAAAAAATTACCCCTGTCTGCTATGATAAAGGATGGCTGTCCTCTTAATTCATTAACTCAGTGGTAAGGGATATGTGGCCTTCCCAATATTGGGAGTTGCCATCCATAACCTTAGGAAGTGCTACACTGTGTTCCTTATGCTAGGAATCTCTGAATACTGCAACACTGACCTTTATCTGTTTTATAGATAGATAGATAGATAGATAGATAGATAGATAGATAGATAGATAGATAGATAGATAGATAGATAGATAGATAGATATATTCCTGTTTGTGTTTGCCCAGTACCCTGGAACTCCTAATGTTAAATGGCTCAAATCATGACAAGTCTAACAAAAGCATTATTAAAATTCTTATGTACCACAGATATTCACAGAATTAGTACAACAAGGGTATAGGGTGCATCTACACTGTAGAATTAATGCAGTTTGACTCCATTTTAACTACTATTGCTCAGTGTTATGGAATTCTAGTTTGGTGAGGCACCATCACTCTGGTAGAGAAAGCAAAAGACCTTGTTACACTACAACTCCTATAATTCCACAGAATTGAGGCATAGCAGTTAATGTGGGGTTGAACTGCATTAATTCCATGGTGGAGATGCACCCATAATTATAAGTCATCAAAGCAGTGACCCTTGATCTCGTGGAGTATGCTGTAGTCCATTAAAGCTCGTATCACAACACATCTGTTAGTCTTCAAGATGCCACAAGACACTGTTGCTTTTGCAACTGAAGATTACCAGTAATATAACAATTCTGTCAGAAGACAAAGGCACTAGCCCAAGGCAACTCATATTTAGCCCAAAAGCATGCAACACAAAGATCTAGAACCTGCAAACAACTGCCAATAGCCTGCCTATTAGCTATCAAACCACATGCAATGTTTTGTTGTTGATATGCAAAGCCCCAAATAATCTAAAATCTAGGAGACCACTTTCCTTTGCAAGCCAACCTTTGCAAGACATCCAGTGGCGTTCTTTCTAGCCATTCTACAGCCAATGGAATATCACCAACCAAACAATACAACAAAAAACAGGCCTTCTCAGTAGTGGCATACCCTCTTTTGTGAGTGCCAGCTTCATGTAATGATTTCAATGTTGGACCAGGACTCTGGGAGACCAGGGTTTGAATCCTCACTTGAGCATGGAAATCCACTGGGTGGCCTTGGGTAAGTCATTCTCTCAGCCTCAGAGGATGGAAAGCGCAAGCCCCTCTGAACAATTTCTGCCAAGAAAATCCCGGAAATGAACTGAACGCACACAACATTAAACCCTCCCTGGAAATCTTTCCATGCTTCTATAAACATTTTAATACATGCTTGTTAAAGTGATTATGATGCCACACTGTTTCATTTTGATGGTATATAATTATTTTCACTGCCATTTTATAGTATGGACAAGAACGCCTTTACAATGTATTGTGTTAAACTGTATACAGTCAACCCTACATATCCATGAATTCTGTGCCCATCAGTCAATCATTTGCAGCTTGAAAATATCCCCCCCACCCCCCAAAAAATCTAAAAAGCAAATCTTCATTTTGTCATTTTATGTAAGGGACACCAATTTATATAATGGGACCTGAGCATCCACACAGGTGCTAGAATCAAATGCTAGTGGATACCAAGAGACCATGCCGGGAGCTCGACAGGGGGAGTGTGTCCCTGTTGGTGATGCTGGACCTCTCAGCGGCCTTCGATACCGTCGACCACGGTATCCTTCTGGGACGCCTCGCGGGATGGGTCTTGGAGGTACTGTTTTGCAGTGGCTCCGGTCATTCCTGGAGGGTCGATCTCAGAAGGTGTTGTTGGGGGACACCTGTTCAACCCCACAACCATTGTCATGTGGGGTTCCTCAGGGCTCAATATTGTCTCCCATGTTGTTTAACATCTACATGAAGCCGCTGGGGGAGATCATCCGGAGTTTCGGGGTACGGTGTCATCTGTACACGGATGATGTCCAACTCTGTCACTCCTTTCCACCTGCTACTAAGGAGGCTGTCCAGGTCCTGAACCGGTGCTTGGCCGCTGTGACGGTCTGGATGAGGGCGAACAAATTGAAATTGAATCCAGACAAGACAGAGGTACTCCTGGTCAGTCGTAAGGCCGAACAGGGCATAGGGTTACAGCCTGTGTTGGATGGGGCCGCACTCCCCCTGAAGACGCAGGTTCGCAGCTTGGGTGTGACCCTGGACTCATCGCTGAGCCTGGAACCCCAGGTTTCGGCGGTGACCAGGGGAGCATTCGCACAGTTAAAACTTGTGCGCCAGCTGCGCCCGTACCTTGGGAAGTCTGACTTGGCCACGGTAGTCCACGCTCTGGTTACATCCCGTTTAGACTACTGCAACGCTCTCTACGTGGGGTTGCCTTTGAAGACAGCTCGGAAGCTCCAACTAGTCCAACGCTCGGCAGCCATGATTTTAACAGGAGCGGAGCGCAGGGAGCATACAACCCCCCTGTTGCGCCAACTCCACTGGCTACCGATCTGAATTCAAAGTGCTGGCGTTGGCCTTTAAAGCCCTAAACGGTTCCGGCCCAAGCTACCTATCTGACCGCATCTCTGCCTATGAACCCACCAGGACTTTGAGATCTTCCGGGGAGACCCTGCTCTCGATCCCGCCTGCTTCTCAAGCTCGGCTGGCGGGGACGAGAGATAGGGCCTTCTCGGTGGTGGCTCCTCGGCTGTGGAACGCCCTTCCTACGGACATTAGACTAGCACCGTCTCTAATGGTATTCCGCAAAAAGTGAAGACCTGGCTGTTTGAGCAGGCGTTCGAATAATTAGTGCAATGATTGGTTAATGAACACTGGAATGGAACAATGGATGACGAATCTGGAACATGTTTTTGATGACGAGACGACAGTGAATGGGTATTGTAGTAACTGTTTATTAATTGTGTAATGTGTTAGGTTGTTAACTGTTTCTATACTGTAGCACTGAATTTTTGCTGTTCGTATTTGTTGTGAACCGCTGTGAGTCGCCTTCGGGCTGAGAACAGCGGTATATAAGTAAGGTAAATAAATAAATAAATGTATTGTACAATATGGATGTATTGTACATAATACAACAAAGCGGCTTACAACATATTACAAGACATTAGACAAGACATAAATATCTCATTTAATTACAGCTCCCAGGATTCCATAACATTGAGCCATGGCAGTTAAAGTGGTGTCAAACAACATTAATTCGACAGTTTCAAAATTTCAGCATTTGAAAGCACTCTCTTCCTAGGCTACATTTTACTATCATCCATGATCAGTGTTGCTAGGTTTTCAAAATTCATAGAATGCAGCGATGACAACCAGGGCAAGTCTGTGTTCTACCTGATTATTAGATTCCACCTAAACATTAAGACCACCTTCCTGAAGGTAAGACCTATTTGACAGTGGAATATGCTGCCTCTGAGGGCTCATCTACACTGCCATATAATGCAGTTTCTGAATCCAGATTATCTGATTTGAACTGGATTATACTGATCTACATTATTTTCACTTATGAGTGAAGATTGTTGTGTCAATTTAATAGGTTGTTTTATGTTTATATTTTGGTCTTGTTTTTTGTTGATTTCAGTTAATTTTGTTTATTTTAATAATTATTGTTTATGGTTTGTACTGTTACTGGGTTGTAATACGCTATGAATCCCCTCAGGGAGATGAAACCACAGACTCATACTGGAGAGAAACCCTATAAATACCCGAAATGTGGACAGAGCTTCACTCAGGCCTCTTCCACACATAAAATCCCACATTTTCTGCTTTGAACTGGAATATATGGTAGTGTGGACTCAGAAAACCCAGGGCCCTCCCACATAGCCCTATATCCCATAATACCAAGGCAGAAAATCCCACAATATCTGCTTTGAACTGTGTTATCTGTGTCTAAACACAGATAATGTGAGGTTTTCTGCCATGATATTCTGGGATACAGGGCTGTGTGGAAGGGCTCTAAGTCTACATAAACATCCAAGGACTCACACTGGGGAGGAATCCTATAAAGACACAGCATAGAATAATAGAGTTGGAAGAAACCACATGGACCATCTAATCCAACCTTGCTGTTATTTTATTTGCTTTTATATACTTCATATGCTTTTATTGATTTAACCAAAATTGTTTCAATATTAATGTTGTTTAATACTGTTAAATACTGAGAGCCCTCGGTGGCACAGTGGGTTAAACCGCTGAGCTGCTAAACTTGTTGACCAAAAGGTCACAGGTTCGGATCTGGGGTGCAGCGTGAGCTTCCGCTATCAGCCCCGGCTTCTGCCAACCTAGCAGTTCAAAAACATGCAAATGTGAGTAGATCAATAGCTATCGCTCCAGAGGGAAGGTAACAGTGCTCCATGCAGTCATGCTAGCCACATAACTATGCTATTTTGTACTTTTTTTGTTATTTTATATATTTTATGCCATGATGTATTTCTCTTGTTTTGTTTTGTGTCTAACTATGCTGTATTATTTTTGGGCTTGGCCTCATGTTAACTGCTCCGAGTCCCCTTTGGGGAGATGGTGGCGGTTATAAATAAAGATTATTATTATTATTATTATTATTATTATTACCTTGTAGGTGTCTATGGATGACGCTGGCTTTGGCTTAAAAATGGAGATGAGCACCAACCCCCCAGAGTCGGACATGGCTGGACTTAATGTCAGGGGAAAACCTTCAACTTTATCTAATACTGTTTTAATATTTGTATATTTTAAGTTGTATTGCAATGCTTTTAATATTTGAGCTGCTTTGAGTCTCCAT